ACGTAGCGATAAATGATGACCCAGATTATAGGCTGCGAGCTATTGCATGAAAGAATCCACTTGCCTCGTGTTCTTTAGCTTGTCCCGTGACGTGTTCCTTCTTTGGTACGCCAAACATTTTGAAGACCCACGGGAAGTTTTAAGTTTAACCCAGATTTTCCTTGAGGTTGTCCGCAAAGATAGTCTCCATCGATTCTAGCCCTTTCCAGGACAGACGAAATGGGGCTCGTGAACTCGGAATTGCAACTGGTTTCATCTGAACCTTTCCACTGCACGTCCCGTACTGGTTAAGGACCGTCTATAATCTTTAAAAAAAAAACACCATACGTCAAATTAGGACAAGCTGATTTTGGAATAGTGTTTATCATTTTCACTGGGGCGGTTATGACCATATCTAGCATTGCAAAATCGTTTGGCGCACGAAACTCTGCGTGGATGACCGGGTCGCTTAGGAGCGTTGTGGCATCGATGTGGCTGGACCACAACCTCATCATTACGTCCCCGGTGCTGAATGTATGTCAGTGGCAAGAATTGCCCTGATGACCGGTCCACTTGAGCACGTGTTAACACAACTATGGAATACCAAAATTACGTCTTGATCAGCATCAAGAACGCTCTCTGTAAATAACATGTCAATAAACTCGCCTTCGATCGCGCTCACAGTCGCCTTGACTATCGACAGCTCAGCTGATTTGTATTCGACCTATCGAATCGTTTTGATTGATTCGTTGCACACTAACGACCCTAGTAGCTAGCCTCGGACGGAAGAAGTGTGTTAGATTTCTATAATCCAGTAGTTTAGTAACAAGTATGCTATATCTGAATAGAGGTTGTGGATGGTTGACCTCATGGCTTGTACCGGGTTGGTAGTTTATTGATCGAAATCCTATCGTATACTCGATATCTTCTTTCACCTCTTGAACAATGTCATCGTGCCGATTCGTGCTCTTGGGCGCGATATCGTCAGACTTTTCGGCCTCGGTTAACATTCCGCGAGTCGATGCCCTGTCTGTTTGCAATCAAAGCATAGGTTGTGTTAAAAAACCATTCTTGTACACTGCTTGAACGTGATCAATTTCCATTGGCTCTGGCTGGTATTCGTCGTAGAGTTGTCTTGGGAGACCCTGGGCGACGAAACTAATGTGTACATCTTGAGTTTCCAAAGTAAAAAAAGAGGCCGCCTAGATTCATACGCGTCATTAATGGTCCGGCTCAGGGATGCACAGCGTCGGTATTCCACTTGGGCGCGTGTATGATGATTCCAAGCCTGGGTGAAGTAAAAAATTGAGTCGACGTCGCTCATGCTATAATCTTGGATCATCAGCCGTAAGAAGTAATTGACGATCTCAAGAGCTCGGCACTGCGCTGGAATGAATTCCTAAGCTGGTCACGGAGCCTGATTCGAAGGTCTGCTGGTACAAAGTACTCTCCAAGTGAAATATAAGGTCGTCTACAGTCGTAATTCGGCTCCGGGACTATACAAAACACTACACCGCAGTGTGGGTGACCGTGCTTCCAATTGCCCGGTCCAACTTTGTCGCCATCGTCGCACTTTTCCAATCTACACGCCCCAATGTGAAATAGTGTACTTTTTTCTTTGAACAGATCAAACGATTTATGCGCTTGGCCTTGATAGCGTAGCGCATTCACCTCTTTCCACTAAAAGATCATTCAGTGTCTCCACCTCTGCCATCGTCCGCATCATTTCATGCTGCTGTTTCATTATGGTGAGCATGTTTTTTGTGAGCTCCACGTTAAAGGGGCCCGCACATATTTTCCTCCGTGCCTGTAAAAACTCTCTACACCACGTGTTTGACATTTTCGCTGATAGCAGATCTAAGTCAAAAATGAGGCAGGTAAAGGTTCAAATCGAGTCGTAGTAGGGATAAGATTCTGAGATTAGGTAGGCGGACCAACAAGTGCAACCAGATGTGGTGTTTAAACAGGAAATATGAAAGTGAAAGTATTGTAATCCTTGTCACTTCATGCTATGTGCAATTCGAGGCCTAATAGATTCATTACTGGCGTCCGTAAAAGTTTCTTGACTTGATTCTTTTTCGGGTTCTATAACTGGATTCTATTTCGATGTTTGTCGTGAACCTTCATTTCTTGAACAGTCATTCAAGCCCTGCACTTTGCCTGGCGTATAAAATGTTTCGATAAATGATCGGTGATTCACATCCTTGAAAAGATCATGCAACACCTTTTTTATATTCTCTACAAGAGTGTAAAAAGGTGTTGCACGATCGATAAAAGTTACGCTGTAAAAGTTGGACACAAAGTTGTCTCTCTAAGAGAAAGGCGAGTGTAGCTACACTGATCGCACAGTTAAGAAGTGCCTCGGATTTACACGAATACGGACGTGCAGAGGAAAGATAAGATCAAAACAGGGGTACTTGGTTCATGTAAGAACTAAAAATGTGTCAAATACATTAAGGAAGCCGCTAGTGAGCCTCTAGGAGACTGTCAATGAGCCTTCACATACATAAATCAAGTGGTTAGATTTGAAATCCTCTCAAGAGTCAACTTGTTTTGTTGAACCCTTTAGAAATAACGTTTATAAGTCTCATGTAACCTTAACATCGTATCTCGGACCCCCTTCTTCTTTAAAGCAACATGGAAGGCCTTAATCAGATCACAGAAGAGCTGTTTGTTTGTGTCGGCAACACTTGGCACGCGCTTGATGAGATGATACTGCCGGAAGGATATGGTGTAGCGGACCTACCTTAACTCCTTAGTCAGAGGAAGAATTATAGACTCGTAGAGTCTCTTAGTCTATCCAAACAACCGAATATAAAATCAAAGGGTCTCAAATCTTAGATAATCAGATAGACTTGAATCTAAGTAAATTTACAAGCTCGTAATCTCCTAGTCCTGATTCAGAAGACAACGACTCCAAGCTATCACGTGGCACTAATGCCCGAGAGTACTTAGCCTTGACTCAGGCTCTTAAATCTTACGACCAGAGACGTCTAAGAAAGACACGTGTCTGAAATTGACCAGAAGGGGAACTGAATGTATTTTATAATTTACAGCGATAATACACTTTACTTGCGTCTTATCCCTAATAACTATGCTACCTAATCGAATAGTCCTCATGGTTATTCTTCTTGTGTACCACACCAGAACCACGTCACCTCTATGAAGACCCTATTACAATAGATACTCTCTATCCTTAACCGATAGGGTGTGGTATCGCTGCTTAGCGTACGCTTTATCAGTGACATCGGTCTCTTTCTCTGTATCACACCAGCGTACCGGTTATCAAATCCGTCTTTGTAAACCCGTTACACTACGTCAAAAACAATCAATTGGCAACAAAGAAGGTGAATTAAAGCGAGGAAAGTGAGGCATAAAGGTTGATAATATTCATGAATATTGCCATAAAGGGTAAAAATGAGAAAACATTGCTGATTAGCTGATATGGGTCATCGGATGAGCCATCTCTAGCGGTCCAATCAACGATTGACGCGCGCAATGAGTGGTGAGCAAGACTTTAGCATACATTTTTGTCGATGCATAAAATTAAGATAGGACAAAACATAGGTTGATGATAACGACTTAAATATGTGTAATGCAGTTCTACTTCACCAGCAACAAGTTCCTTCGTTGTTACTTTAGCTTCCGCTGCCTAAATCATAGAGGTAGTGAGGCACCACTAACGCTGATGTCGGTGATAGTAGGTCCACACTGGTTATCCAGTGTGTTGCTCTGGTGCCCCGTTATGAAAGCAGTAAATCTACAATGCTCACGCAATGCTGTCCACAACAGTCGATTCAGTAATATGGTTATATTATGGCACTCGAGCGCAATTAGAGGGCGAGCAGTATAAAAAAGTGCATTGTGTTTCACGATAGTCTATTTACACGTTAATATAGGATATGGTCTGAACACAATTGTACCATAAACGAAGTGCCGTCGTAGGAGTTTTTCGGGGTGGCTATCTTAATGGTGAGAGAGACCTATTGCAGGGTGGGATGGCCTCCACCTAAACAAAGCCGGTGCGAGCCGATATTTTAAGTGCTCTCACCTGCTGGGGGGCTGCTAGACGTGGAGCTGCGGATATGGCTGGCTCAGTCTCGATTGTGTATATTTGGAAATTAAAAGCATATGTACATCCGAACAAGTTGAAAATTAAAGCGCTTTAAAAGAATTATTTGATTCATGTTTGGGGTGAAGGCTCATGCGCGAAACCTGAAGGCTCAGTATCGACTCCCTCCATTTAGTTTTTTTATAAAACAATTTTGATCGTCGTGTTTAACGTTATCTAAATACACACATGCAAGTAACATTTTGCCCACCACTCACTGCGTTCTTCTGTTGTGACTCGAAAAGACTGGTCATACAGATGAATTATATCTGCTAATGAGCAGTGAATTACCACTGCTGCACAATATCGTCCGATACGATGTGATTATAAAAATATCATGTTTTGCTAACCATAATATATAAACGATACAAACCTCATGTGAAATATCATGAAACAACAACGCACCCCCTTGCACAAGCAGTCTATTGTAAATGCGATTCTGTCGTAAAATTAGCAAATGCTTATATTTCAAATTAGATAGGTCTATAGTTAAATCATAAATGCCAAATCGGGAGTCAGTCTATAAAAACAGTGACGTTTTGTGATATGATTAGTTAAAAGGCTTTACGTTCCCTTATTCCAGGTAATATTTAGCGGGTGGTGAATAGCTTACAAAAAAATTGGTGGATTTCCAAACGGCTCTCTTCTTAACACACGGAGACTGGACACATTTCCGCTTTCTATAAAAAAACAGGATAAAACGGGGGGTGCGTAACTAAAACCCCGATCGACCCATTTTGCCGCGGACACGGTCACAACTTCCCGCTCGCCTCTGCCTTTGCATGGACCAAGGCTGCAGCCTCATTGCTGCGCCCCTCCATCATAACAAGCACCGTCGCACTCTTTATCGTACCTCCTTTCGCTCGGGGTCGCCAAACCCGCCAAAGAGTCGCAAGAAAAAGGCCCTAAAATGGTCAAACCCAAGAATCGGATCCCGGATAATTGGGTCGATGTGGCCAAAATGGGTACACTCGTGGGTACCTCCCGATTTGCGGCTCTCCGTGTCCCATTGGACTTCAAGTTTTTGCCTCAATTTAAGTCAAATCGCGACGAATTATGGACTCCCCACGACTTTTTAGCCCTCCAACGCGACCGGCACTACAACGTCCAGATGGTTATTGACTTGACCAATACCTCCAAGTACTACAATGGCGAGCGGGAATTTCAGAATACTGGTGTGCAGTACATCAAACTCCCGATTGAAGGGTTCTATGGTCCACCTGAGGCGCGAGAAGTGAATAAATTCGTGAAACTTGTGGACGAGTTTATCCAAAAGTCGCCATATGGCGCAATTGCTGTCCATTGCACGCACGGCCTCAATCGAACGGGATATCTCGTGGTTACGTACCTGGTGAAGCGACTGAGGTACTCGGTCACGGCCGCGCTTGCAGCGTTCAAAGCTGCTCGCCCACCGGGATTGATCAAACACATGTACGTCGAAGATTTGTACAAACAACTGGGAGCTGGGGAGCAGGTGCAATGGCCAGTGCTGCCGCAATGGGCGAGTGCCAAGTACAGTATGAGGGCTGATTACAGTCAGAAGAAGAAGAAGAAGAAGGCCAAAGGAGGGGGAGAGCAGTGCAGTAAGAAGAAGGCCAAGGGAGCGGGGCAAGAGTGCAGTAAGAAGGTTAAGGGAGGAGGAAAAGAGTGCAGTCGGAAGGCCGAGGAGGGGGGACAAGTGCCTGTAAAACGCAGCAAGAAAAAGAAACGGTCGAAGACGCTGACCAACCTGGAGAATGTTGGAGGGGGCGTGCTAGTAGCTCCGCAGGTTGGTAAACCCAAAAGCGTGTGCTAAATGATGAGGCAGCCTTGCTTTCGGAGACGTCGGAGAGGCTGCTGTGCTGCTGCTGGAGCTTGTGAGTAAGTGTGATGGACTGTATGAGGCAACAGAGGTGAAGTGAGAACGCATGGACGCGAGTGGCCGAGGTGTTATACGGCATTGCTGGCTCACCTTAGCTTTGTGTTTGTGTGTGTCGAATGGTGGTATGCAGTCTTGGAGTTGCGTGACTGTATCCACAGAAACTGCTGATGGGTGGCCGAAGCGCCACGAGGAACGTTTGCAACAGAGTTAAAGTTGGAGTGAGCGTAGCTTTGCCGAGTACATCATCCTGCTTTACATCTATCCCATGGTGTTTTCAATGCCTTCGAGCCTGTGACACAGCTATCGCTTGCTATTCAACTTTGGCGGCCTCTGGTTCGCAAATTGCTAGCTATAATCGAAAAAGGGCCATGCTTTGGGCCTTCATCTTGACCTCAGGAAGCGCACACGTGAATGAGGATTCACACAGCACATGGCATGTCCAACTTGGACACTTGTATGCGTTCGAGCTTGATGTCGATCTTCAAAAGACGTACGTGTGGGAATAACATTACCACTAATTGTTTTATACGAATTGTTGCGCAATCGCTTGGCTGTGATACTTTAATAGAGCTGGGTGGACGCTTGTACGTCTTCGTGTGCTTTTGCAAACTGTTCAAAGAACCTGGACGAGTCCCTTTTGCAGCAAGCTGTATTCGATCCGCCTGTTAACTGATCGTGGCTGCTGGAAGTCAACAAACCGAAGCGCGCAAGAGTCATCAATCCGAATAGCCGCAGCTTGAAGCATAACTGGATCCAGCGACCGTCGTGACCTCCTTAACAGCGTCTTCAATAGTCGGCAGTAGAACTCCACACTCAGCGTTGTACTAGACATTCGCAGCTTCCATTGCCGAGAGCTGCCGCACACGCGTGCCTTCGGAGACTCAGCCACTTGTGTGCTCATCGTAGTTAAGTCTGCGTCGACATTCGAGCACCGAAGCTGTTGCGTCCTTCGGACGGTTAGTTGTCTCTGCATATCGCGGCTTTTCCAGCTTCAGAAGCACGCCCTCTCTCTCTCTCTCTCTCTCCTTCCTTCCCGCTCACTTCCACGCTTGACCCGTTATCGACAGCACCTCCTGTGCAATGTCCTTGTACAGTTGTCTGCACTTGACACCCGAGGGAAACTCGTGGCCTCCGTCATGCTCGAATCGAATCCGTCGAGTGCTCGTGAATCGCTGCTCCAGCTTCTTCGACCTGAGAGCCGTCACCACCGCGTCCCTCCTGCCCACCACGTGCACCGAAGGAATGTCCAGAGTCCCGTCTACCGACGAATAAGCGCCACCATCCAGCAGCAGCTCGAGCGTCTCGGGCGTCTCGGGATCAAAGCCAGCGACGAGGACGCAGACTTTCCACGGCACGAGGGAACCACGGGACGCCTTCGAGAGGTACTGCGCCGTCAAGAGTGTAGCCATTGCCGCTCCTTGGGAGAAGCCGAGCACGGCGTCCACCGAGCCCAGAGCGTCAATTTCACTGGTCAACTGGTCGAGAGAGCGCTGGAAACCGCTGTACGTCCATCTGCTGCTGGTAGTGTCCGAGTGCTTCTGGGCGTCCCACCACTGGTAGAAGGGACCGCTGGGGCCGTAAAAGAGACGCACGAGCTCCGGGACGGGGCCGGAAGCGGGCCAAGGCGCGTTGACGAAGGTGAACTCGGCTCTCGAGCCAAACGCCTGACGGAGAGCGGACGTTTGAGACTCGAGGACGCGACTGTTGGTTCGCCATCCGTGGAGACACAAGACGCGGATGGGACGAGTGGCCATTGAGGCTGGTGAGGGAACGAATGGAGGTGGAGATGGGTACAGCCTTTGGGGAATAAAAGGGGCATGGGATCAGAGGGAGAGTCAGTGCGTGTGGGAGTGGCTATACTTGACTGGACGAAGAGGGGGGAAAGGGTGGGTACATCTGCATGATTACGCTTGATATAGATGGGTACGCGGAGCCCTTGATCGATGTATCCATGTTCTGGCTCAGTGTCGAGTGGGTGGGATGCTGGAGTGTAGATCTGTGATTGGTCGATACACTTCAAGGACTTCAGCCAATGACGTTCTACGCTGACGAGCAGGATCGACGGACTGATGATTACTGTGTCTTTCGGTCGAAGTCTTGATATGTTACGATGGTTGATGGAAAAGGTTCATCAAGAGACTAAGGCGCTTGTCAGGACGAAGGGGAAACGATGCGCTTAACAAAGAATCGTCCGTGTACGTCTTTCATCTGCTAGATTCATTGTGGTTTATGTACGTCAACGGACACGTCAGCTGTGAACATGGATACGGAGTATTTTGTAGTGCGGGGGCTAAATCTTGATGGTGCTATTGTCAAGCTACTAACTTGTACTTACCTCCCTTACATAAACAAACAAGAGTGAACGATGATGCAGTGATGTGGCTAACGAGCTTGAACGTATAACGCGGTAAGTTGTGATAATCTCACAAGACGTGATCTCACGCCATGCCCTTTTGCAGGAAACATATCGACCATGGTACTAGTACACAATCGATCAAAGGCCGTAATCGTACTGACAACGTTCTTGGTTCACATTGCACAAGCCACTTCATCTTTGCTGTAAAGATGCGAATATGAGAAGAGGGGAAGAACACTGCACAACGAAAAGCTGGACAGGAACACGGGGCACGACTTGACATTCCTACCGTCAGGAAGCTCGTTTTTAGGCTAGAGCGCTTGAACGCAATACAATAAGCAAGGAGCCACTTACGTCCACGCATGTGTAATCCACCCCATCATTGAGCAGGCCTTCAGGCCCAGCGATAATAATGCATAAGAGTGGACATGGCCAAAGCTCGTGGATCAGCGTGCTACAGAAGTATCGGTGACTTGCATCAACAGCTGTACACTACGATAATCGATCATATCAATCTTTCGCTTTAATCCACAGCATCTTCGCATTGCGCTGCAATGCATATGCACGTACTGCGTAGGCGTGCGTAGCCATAGCCTCGCTGATCTCAGGCCTATTTTCTCGGAGTCGAATGGCGTTCGCGAGAGACGACAAGCAGCAATGAGTTGTGGTCGTTGGCGCCGATCAAGCTTGACATATACGAAGGAGTTGCTTTAGCCTGCAAAGCCGATGCTTGTCATTTGATGAAGCGACTCCGACCGCAGATGAAACACGAAAGCATCAGAAGACTACCCTTGGCGTGCTGTTAGTACGGATCTTTGCTGCCTACTGGCGCGTCGTGTCAGTTACTGGACTTCTGCTCTTGTTGGCACACCCTACGCTCCTTCCAGCTTACATTTGCAAGCACCAGCAGGAGGATGTCATGATCAACCACTTTAAACCGCGGAGCCGTGGCTTAGGCCAGCGCACGTACATCCCCCATACAAATGCGATAAGCGTCATTCTGCTCTCCAATGTTCTGATTGCGTACACTACGAAGATCGGTGAATGAGTAGACCGATTGGACGAGGCCGCAGAAGTCCGTCATGTGCTGTGATGGAAGAGCTCAACCACCGCTCAGACCATTCAGTGTCACCTCCTTTGCCCTGTCAACAGACAATGAAGCACTCCGACCGAAACGCTCCATCCGATTCCGTCATGAGGTCAGGTGACACTACATCGACGTTTCTTGACAGAGTCGTCGCTGAGATGAATTAAACTCGAATCTTCTTAACATTTCAGCGGAAATCCCTGTCGCTGTATCCAAGCCATGGGCTGTGTCGTTGCTATACGACTCCCTACTGCAATAGCAGTCAACGAAAAGCTTGAAGCTATCGGCGGCAAGATAGCTCCTCCTCCTTTGCACCCTATCTACCTCCTCGCATCCACCTAACTTTACTACTTCATTTGTTATCGTCCTAGTCAACTATAGTACATACATCTAGCACCACATGTACTCGAAAATGCCGCCCGTTCGCGGACAAGTGACACCAACACCTAATCAACATGCGTTCATTTGCCCGCATCATTCTACAGTACGACAAAGCGCGTCAACACCTTGTCGTACGACTCCATTGAGTCGATGAGGTCCCATCGACGCATTGGTCACCGGTCAAAAGACACTGACCAATTATTCACTGAAGCAGTACTGGACAGCACGATACCCCAAGCGCAGTGTCTCTCGCATAGGGTCCGACCACTTGTATGGGCACTGTATAGCGCTTCGAAGCCATAAGATCTCATCGTAACGTGGACGATCAACGATCCTTCTTGCCAGTGGCAGTAGTGACGAGGGGTGCCATCGTGTGCCTTTTCGTACGATTTCTACCGAAAAAACGCCGACCTGAGCGCGTACATAATCCACGACCCCACTCCGCCAATCAGTCGCCGCAACGACCGTGAGGTGGCCAAGTTGGCTAAATCACGACGCAGCGTGAGGCGCCGTCGACATTTGCAGCCTCGTTGATTTGCATCAGAATGGCGGAAACTGCGACGTCCGACGCCAATTTGCTGGAAAGATGATCGATTCCTGTCACGCAAATCGCTGTTTCACGTGCCTTCCGGTCCACCTCCTTGCTGGCTGAGCCTCTTCGGCTGCAGCTTTTCCAGGAACCAACTACTGCGAGGACAAGATGCCTGGAAAGCCGATCGCTGGCATTCTGTTGGAAGCGAACGTGGCTGCTACGCTGGACGAAGCTCTCATTTTCGTGTTGCATATTGTCACTGTCAGTCACGTGTTAAATGTAAAATGAAAGCCGAAACATAGCGTGCATCTTAGCTTGTTGCCCGCTATTCTGCATTGGATTGGGATGTGCTTTACCAGCATGTCGTAGAACCATCCATAGTTCACGCATATCAACTTGTGTCCGGTTCTTCGACGCACACGGTTGTCTCATTCTCAGGACAACGTTGCTATCGAGACTCGCTTTTGAGCCAACGGCCTGTCGATCGATGATGTTACGCTCGTTTGTCGACAGGAAAACATTCGGAGCCGATGGTGATACCTCAGCTATAAAGTTACTGAGCAAGAGCCCAATCAGGACGAGAGACTCGATCGCGCTGTTCTAGTCGCAGCGCGGTGCTCGAAAGAAATGCTGGAAGCGATCCCAAGTCTTTCGACTGAACTACACATCCCTCGAAACGAAGAGCTACTCACTTTGACTTTTGCACCGTAAACCACTGCCATCACCTTTCGGTTGCTCCCGAAATGACATGGCACAAGGTGATCTTCTCTACATTAGCCATCGTGGCAACTACATCCGTATCAAACGGAGTCCTTGATACTGAAAACGTCACGTCTCGACTACATCCACCTTCACCTTCTGTAGTGCGTGTAGTGCAACGGACAGGGTCCGCTTCATTTGCTAGATCTACATCCCTTCGTTCAAGAGGCGAACCCATGTTAGACGCGGTATCAAAAGTTCGGCCCATGCCCTCCGCAACACTCGTGGACACCATGTCCGAATCGAGATCACTATTTGGACGGAGCTCAACGTCTTCTCGCATGGCAGGGTCCCCTATCGAATCGTCAGCAGATATCGCAATCACAGTCACACCCAGTACATCATCCAACTATTCCGCTTTGATTACAGATGAAGCCTCCGGAGCTTCGTACGAGTTGGCGACCCCGCTCACTGCCAAGAGCTCCGTTATTGCTACGTACCGCAATTGGGTCGGCCCTCGTGTTGTGCAAGGCGATTCCGCTTGTTGGCGTGAAGCCCACATTATGGACGTGTGTCCATCGCAGTACGACCGCAATGAAGCCACCAACACGTGCTGGACACAGTGTCCGATCGAGTTCCCCATCCGGTGCGGCATGGAGTGCATCCGTCAAAACGACGGCTGTGGGCGCGAGGTCTTTTACAAGATTGGCTCCATTGTCAACGTCGGCCTCAATGGCATAATGGACAACTGGTTTGGCAAATTTCGAGCAATGAGTAAAGCCATAAGAACCGCTACCATGTGTGCGTGTATGGTGCTAGGCGAGGTCCGTGCCATTCTTCGGTATGTTCGGAGTGTAAAGACTTCGGATCCCCAAGTCTCTCGCGATCGGCTCTTGACAATGTTGTTCCAGTCCAATGCTGTGGTCGTTGAATTGCCCATTACTATCAAGCTTTGTTTGGGTGGCACCGCAAGTTCCCAGTGGTGGCTCGCTGACCGAATCGTCGCGTCAACGCAGTACCTCTTGTCCCAAATTCTGTCCCACGAAGACTACCTCATCACAAGCTTTGACCGGTTCAACGCTTTTCTAAGAGGAGCCAACTTCACGGTCATGCCAGAGATGATGACCGACGGAGAGATCCAATATTTGAAGCACGCGCTCGAGTCCAACTCGACTTGTGGACACGACTTGCAGGGTCTAGTGGAACGTGCGTGGTTGACGATCGAGTCTCTTAAAGAAGAGCACCCTGGTATTACGAAAGATGAGCTGCGCGTCAAGATTCAGGACACCCAGCTGGCCAAGACGGATATTGCCAGAGTCACTAGCAACTGCATGGGATTGCTCATTCAGCAGTCGGACGAGAGAACAGCGTACACTACGCGGGACACGATCCGAAAGACGTTTGGCGTGATTTTCAATGACCTGATTACTAAAGGCGTGAGCAACAACGGGTCGTCGTACAAGGCGAACGAGTACACGTATCAATGGCTGAACCAAGGTCTCAACTTCTGGGTCTCGACAGGATTCGACATGAGCGGTATCTCCAGTATGATCTCTGAGTACTTCCAGTCCATCTGCGGACCCACACAGTTCATCGGTGAGGTAGACGATGGCAGTCATCCGGATACACTCGGACTCAACACTATTCAGAACGCCTTCAAGAACAGCACCATGATGTGGACCAGGAAAGGGGACGGCCGCGTTATCATTTCTTTTACCAGCAACGATACTGAGGACGTGACAGTCAACATCATGTCTGGAGGGGACAAAATTGACGAGATCAAAGTCGCTGCAGGCAAAAGAGGGACGTGGAAGTCCACCGTATCCATCCTGGGTGGTAAAACACTCTACTTGGATCGATGGCGTCCCGGGTTTCTCGGGCTCCCAGGCACCGGCGGTGGCTCGCTGATGTTGTGGGTGCCCCACGCGGCCGAAGGAGGCCATTTAGATTTGAACGTGCACTTGAACGTGAGTTAGTTCGACAGCCGTCATGATAGAGAGATAGTCGTAATGTAAAGAATGAAAGTGTAGATTGTACAGCGGCGCTTAGCTGCGCATTAGCCAAACCGATTGTTTTTGATTATCCACCGTATCTGAAGAAGCGTCACACAAACAAACGAGCCAAACAAGGGCAGAACATCATTGGCTGAAGTCCTTGAAGTGCATTGACCAATCACAGATCGACACTCTGGCATCCCACCCACTCGACACTGAGCCAGAACATGGATACATCGATCAAGAGCTCCGCGTACCCATCCATCTCAAGCGTAATCATGCAGATGTACCCACCCTTTCCCCCCTCTTCGTCCAGTCAAGTGTAGCCACTCCCACACGCACTGACTCTCCCTCTGATCCCATGTCCCTTTTATTCCCCAAAGGCTGTACCCATCTCCACCTCCATTCGTTCCCTCACCAGCCTCAATGGCCACTCGTCCCATCCGCGTCTTGTGTCTCCACGGATGGCGAACCAACAGTCGCGTCCTCGAGTCTCAAACGTCCGCTCTCCGTCAGGCGTTTGGCTCGAGAGCCGAGTTCACCTTCGTCAACGCGCCTTGGCCCGCTTCCGGCCCCGTCCCGGAGCTCGTGCGTCTCTTTTACGGCCCCAGCGGTCCCTTCTACCAGTGGTGGGACGCCCAGAAGCACTCGGACACTACCAGCAGCAGATGGACGTACAGCGGTTTCCAGCGCTCTCTCGACCAGTTGACCAGTGAAATTGACGCTCTGGGCTCGGTGGACGCCGTGCTCGGCTTCTCCCAAGGAGCGGCAATGGCTACACTCTTGACGGCGCAGTACCTCTCGAAGGCGTCCCGTGGTTCTCTCGTGCCGTGGAAAGTCTGCGTCCTCGTCGCTGGCTTTGATCCTGAGACGCCCGAGACGCTCGAGCTGCTGCTGGATGGTGGCGCTTATTCGTCGGTAGACGGGACTCTGGACATTCCTTCGGTGCACTTGGTGGGCAGGAGGGACGCGGTGGTGACGGCTCTCAGGTCGAAGAAGCTGGAGCAGCGATTCACGAGCACTCGACGGATTCGATTCGAGCATGACGGAGGCCACGAGTTCCCCTCGGGTGTCAAGTGCAGGCAGCTGTACAAGGACATTGCACAGGAAGTGCTGTCGATAACGGGTCAAGCGTGGAAGTGAGCGGGAAGGAAGGAGAGGAGAGAGAGAGAGAGGGCGTGCTTCTGAAGCTGGAAAAGCCGCGATATGCAGAGACAACTAACCGTCTGAAGGACGCAACAGCTTCGGTGCTCGAATGTCGACGCAGACTTAACTACGATGAGCACACAAGTGGCTGAGTCTCCGAAGGCACGCGTGTGCGGCACCTCTCGGCAATGGAAGCTGAGAACGTCTGGTACAACGCTGAGTGTGGAGTTCTACTGCCGACTATTGAAGACGCTGTTAAGGAGGTCACGACGGTCGCTGGATCCAGCTATGCTTCAAGCTGTGGCTATTTGGATTGATGACTCTTACGCGCTTCGGTAAGTTGACTTCTAGCAGCCACGATCAGTTAACAGGCGGAACGAATACAGCTTGCTGCAAAAGGGACTCGTCCAGGTTCTTTGAACAGCTTGCAAAAGCACACGAAGACGTACAAGCTTACACCCAACTCTACCAAGGTATCACAGCCAAGCTATTGCGCAACAATTCGTATAAAACAATTAGTGGCAATGTTATTCCCACACGTACGTCTTTTGAAGATCGACATCAGGCTCGAACGCATACAAGTGTCCAAGTTGGACATGCCATTGCAGCACGAAATTGAACGTGGAGATCAGCTGCCGAGTGATAGGAGTGTCGATTCCTTCATGATGTCGTCGAGTGAGTGATCGTTGCTTCTACTTCGCGACAGGGACGATCAATTGATGTCCGCACTACCGTCGAGAGCGGTGACCTCGATCACGACTTCGGTCCCACTTGCGACTGCTGCTCACACACTGACTCCGACTTCTTCCCCGACTTCGGTTTCGGTGTCGTCGCTCGGATCGATCGCGGCTGGCACTTCGACGCCGATTACTGCGTCGGTCATGACTGCGACTCGTTCCTCGCTTCGACCGAGACAAAGAGTCCCTTTCACCACGTCTATCCGGACTACGACTTAGCCGGCGTTTCTCGCGAGCAGATGCTGGCTTCAATCGGCGCAAAGCTGACACGGCTTCTTCTTCCTCCACTAGCTTGAAGTCATCCACACCACGCGACTTGACCCTCAAGTTACCGCCAAGCTCACGCCGTCCTCTACCGCCACCACCAGCACCACATTTGTTCCCACGTCCACCTTCGTTCCTGTCAGTAGCAACCGCATCCCCATCACGCTTGCTCGTCTTCTCCCACGGTCGCCGCTTGACTTTGTTCCATAACTTGGACACCGACTGACTAAAGTCCACCTTAATGCGACGATCATCCAGCAAGACATTGTTCATCTTGAAATAAGCTTCTTCGCAATGCCGTCGATCAGTAAACTCGACAAAGGCAAAGCACAGCGAATCGCCCGTCTTCTGGTCTCGAATGACCTCGGCTTTGCACTGCCCGAATCGGCAAAAAGCCATATCAAGATCGCCACTCTCCGTCACCGGGTTCAACTTGCACACAAACAGCACTTCTTCTGGAGGTTTGACGTCAGCATCTGGCAAATCGCCAATCATCTCGAGCACCACCGCTCGGGACTTGGCTTCTTTCTCCCGCACCGCCTTTTCAATCTCCGCTTCCGTCCGTCCTTCATTCTCGTCCAATTTTTCGTCAGCTGCAAGTCGGGACTCCACCTGTTCTTCTTCCGGCTTTTCACGACTTGGCGACAAGGGCGGAACGAGCTCGTCCAGTCCTTTTGGATCCGGAAACGGGTCATCTAACACGTACGTGTGCTTGATCCGCACATCCTGATACGGTCGATAGTCCTTGTCCACAAATAGAGCGTTAATTTGGTCCAGCACGTCCATCCCTTCGGCCACTTCGCCAAAAATAGTGTGTTCTTCATCCAGATATGCCATATCGTCGGCTCGTGTGGTTAGGTAAAACTGAGACGCATTCTGATTGGCCGATCCAGACGCCATTCCAACCAATCCGCTCCGGTCTTTGTGGGACCGGCCTCTTGTATGTGGCAACTCGTCCTCGAAAAAGCGCGCTTGGGGACCGTACAATTTGCCATAAATAGAGACCCCCCCGCTGCCCGTGGCTGTGGGGTCCCCCGTCTGCACCATAAACTTCTCCTGCACATTGAAAAATAAACAGCCATGATAGTACTTGGTCTTGCACAGTTTCAGGAAATTCGTGCACGCAATGGGACAGTCTTCCACGAACAAGTCCAGCACGAGCGCGCCGAGCGTCGTCTCGATCAACACTGACATTGCAATATAACACCTACACACACTCAAGTGCCACACTTCCAATCGCCACTATGTTTTTGTGGACCACACTCCGTCGTCACAATCGAACTTAGGCTGTTCGATCTTGCTCACGTCGGATTGGCTGAAAAGATATTCCTTCCTAACGCTCTACAGACCATCACTCTCATGCTCGCACGCCGGCCGTGCTTCAAGCGCCATGCTGCATGGCGTGCGTTGCCGCCCACGTGGCCTTTCCATGACCGTTTCCACGCGCCTTCCAGTTCATCGGTGCATGGCTCTTCCTCTCTCTTATTGTCAAAAGCGCTCCGCGACCGTGTGAAGCGGTCGCCACTCGCTCCTACCTACGATCCTACAGTTGTAGAGCAAGGATGGCAAACCTACTGGCACACAGCTGATGCTGCTAAAAACCGACAGTTAGAGAGCATGGCTACATCCGACAAAACGTTCTGCATGCTGTTGCCACCGCCAAACGTCACGGGCGCGCTGCACCTTGGCCACGCACTGACGGTAACGATCCAAGACGTGCTGGCACGATGGCACTGGATGCGGGGCTTCCACGTCCGCTGGCTGCCAGGACTGGACCACGCTGGGATCGCCACTCAAAGCGTCGTCGAGAGGAAACTGCTCAAGGAAAAGGGGCTTTCACGTACTAAATTGGGGCGAGAGACGTTTGTAGAGCAGATATGGCACTGGAAAGAGCAATATGGCGGTCGCATTATGGAGCAAATGGACGAATTAGGAGCTATTGTGGACAAAAGCGAGCTCTACTTTACACTTGACGAGCAATGCTCTTCAGCTGTAAAACACGCGTTCGTGACGTTGTACGACAAGGGACTGATCTACCGCCGACGGCGAATGGTCAATTGGTGTCCGACATTACAGACGGCAATTTCCGATATTGAAGTGGACGTGGAGCACGTGGACAAGGCAACGAGCAAGATGCTGCCTGGACGAAAGACAGCGGTCGAGTTTGGAGTGATGCATCGCATTCGGTATCAGGTTGCAGACTCAGATGAGTACGTGGAGGTGGATACGACGCGACCCGAGACGATATTTGGTGATGTTGCAGTGGCAGTTCATCCAGATGATACGAGGTATCAAGCGTTGCATGGTAAATACGTGATTCACCCGTTCTCGAAGGAACGGATTCCGATCGTCACGGACGATGTGCTGGTTGATATGGAGCTTGGTACCGGTACGGAGTTGATAGTGTTTTCGTTTGGTTCTCTAAACAGCTGTTGCTGGACCGAGTGGTGAGACGTTGTGGTGCTTTGTCATTGATACTGTGCAGGTGTCGTGAAAGTTACACCGGCACATGATCTGAAGGACTTTGAGTGTGGTCGTCGTCACGGTCTACCCGAAGTGGAGGTGATGGACAAACACGGAAAGATGTGCGGTAACATTGACCAGCGCTTTGTTGGCATGGATCGGTTTGATGCTCGGCAACGTGTTGTCGAAGCGTTGCTGGAAATGGATTTATACGTGGACAAGGTGCGACTAAGATTTCGTTGCTTGGATGGTGTTGACCTCTGAATAGTGTTGCTGCATGACTGTGTAGCTCGATCACCCGACAACGCTCTCGACTTGTTCACGCTCAGGGGATATCATCGAACCACTGCTCATGCCGCAGTGGTATGTCAAATGTGGCGCGATGGCTCAGCGGGCGGCTGACAACGTTCGCAATGGTGTGATGACCATCGAGCCAAAATCACACGCGCACACGTGGTTTTACTTCCTGGACAATATCCAAGACTGGTGTGTCAGCCGCCAGCTCTGGTGGGGTCACCGCATCCCGGCGTATCGTTTGAAATCTGGGGTCATTGGTACGTCTCATGCGAGCGACAATTGGTTCGTCGCAGCATCCATTGGGGAGGCTCGGCAGAAGGCTGAGGCGGAACTGGGATGCAAGCTGCAGGATGACGACCTGGAACAAGACGTGGATGTGCTTGATACTTGGTTTAGTTCGGGTTTACTTCCTCTCTCCGTATTTGTACGTTGCAGACGTGGCGTGCTTGCGTTTGAGATTGCTACCTGATGCGTCATTTGCGCGATATGGACAGGGATGGAGTAAAGCTGGCAACGACGACGCCACCTCGATGGATCTAAGCTCGAGCTACCCGTTAGACGTCATGGAGACTGGATCTGACATTCTTTTCTTTTGGGTAGCGCGTATGGCGATGCTATGCGAAGAGGTGAGTAGCGTATAGCATGACTTGTTCGTTACTCTATCTGCTGACATTTCTTTAGCTCTCAGGTCGTGTACCGTTCACAAAAGTGCTGTTGCACCCGATGGTGCGTGACAAGGCTGGTCGGAAGATGTCGAAGAGTGTAGGCAACGTTATTGACCCGCTGCATGTAATCAAAGGTATCAGCCTCGACCAGCTACGCACGGACTTGCAGGTAAATATGAATTTGAAAGCTGTCGCGTGTGAATGGTGCTCTAAGTGTGGCTATTGACTAGAGTGGCAATGTCGGACCGCGCGAGCTGAAGAAAGCGGAGAAGGAGTTGGTAAAGGAGTTCCCCCAAGGTATTCCTAGTTGTGGCGCCGACGCACTGCGTTTCGCGTTAGCCTCATACCTTCAGCAAGGTCGACAGATCAATATGGATGTGCAGCGGGTTGTGTCGTATCGGCACTTTTGCAACAAGGTGTGGAATGCTGTTCGCTACGCTCTACCTTTGCTAGAAGCAGCAGACAGTGCCAACACACATGCGTCCGCAGCGATGGATCTTTGTCACTTGCGTAATGACATGACCTTAGCTGACCGTTGGATTCTGAGTCGACTGGTAAGCAGAGGCATACGTGCCGACTTGACGTCCACGCCTGCGTGTGATTGACCATGTGAATGTGTCGCCATGCAGGCCGCCGTCGTGTCGGAGGTAAATGGAGGAATTGCGGGAAACCAGCTGGCAACGAGCGTCGCTGCTATCCAGAGATTTTTCGTGCAGGAGTTGTGCGACGTCTACATCGAGTTCAGCAAGTCAGTGCTATACGGCAACCGCGTCGACAAGGACATCACTTCCGTACATCGTCAACGTGCTCAACGGCGCAGTGCTCAGGCAACGCTGCATCGATGCATTGACTACTCGATGCGTCTACTGCACCCTTTTACACCCTTCCTTACGGAAGAGCTATGGCAATGCATCCGAGATGTCGACCCACTCAACGCATCGATGCGCACGCAGAATCTTGAGACCTCAATATTGAGCTCGGAGTACCCGGAAGAGTCCCACATGCAAACATGGATTGATGCAGATGCTGAAAAGCGCATGACGGTACGTTCATTACCTAGTAGTAGTCTCAAAGTGGTATTTTCTGATCCGTCTGATTCTATTCTTTTACGAAACCAGCTTGTGATCGACGTGATCCATGGTATTCGCTCGCTCCGTCACTCCGTGAAAGTGTTGGCTCCAAGTACGCCATCTGCAAATGACAGGTACGCCTACCAAGCGTTGCATTGATACATCGCATGGTCTGTGGTACTAATTTGCTCGTACTACGTAGTGACCGTCTTGCTGTTGTTATCGTGTGTGTCGACGCAGCTATGCACTCCGAGCTCAAGGATGCCCAGCGTGATATCGAGACACAATGTCGCGTTCGTGTCGACATTTCTGTGGATGGTGACGATACTGTTTTCGTAATGCCGTCCCCACACGTGCTCACACACTCGGTATCGGACTCTTGCCGAGGTAGGTCAGTTCTCCTTTTCATGTGGCGACCAGTTCCGTGCGTGTGGGTTGTCAAATTTTAATCAGCATGTTGTTTTTTGCAGTGATGGTGGCAATTCCCAACGATGCCGAAACGACGCAGCGCGTGGACCGTGAAATTGCACGCTTAGTGAAGCGGGCCGACAAGAGTGCTGCTGCTGCTGAAGCCCTCATGCAGCGTCAACAAGGACTGCACTACGCTGCCAAGGTGCCCGAGGCTGTGCAAGTGCAAGATGCGCAACGCCTCATAAAGTTGCAGACCGATTTGCACGCGACGCAAAAGAGTTTGACTGCGCTGCGTGATCTTCAGCATCTGTACTGAAAGATGTGAGCCCTGGAGTATAGGGAACCGACCCGAGCATGAAGCTTTTGTCAAGCCTTCGATGCAAAGCCTTTGTCGAGACTACACGTCGAGACTGTGAGCTCGAGTTCGACGAGATGGGGGAAATGACGTTTGTCCGTCCTACAGCGCTGTTCAGGACGTAGATGTGCTGATACGCGTGAAGGCCGAACACGCCGGTAGGCTGCGGATGATTCGTCTTCAACATACTTCGCAGGGGACGACGACTCAGGCGTCTGTTGTTGCAGCATTTAAAAGTTCGACGTCACAAAGGCATCGCTGTCATCGTGAATAGAGCCGACACCCAACGACAGTCGCTCATGTGGTGTATTGGACGTTCATTGTGCTCCTACAAACCGTCACTACATCGGAATGCGTTGGCAGCGCCTTCACGATTATTTTTGAGTCTGCCTCACATGGCTTGGCTACATGGGACGAATGTCCAGCCATCGAAAAACTCCCATTTGATCGTAGCCCCACCACGATAATCAGCCGCGATATTTCTACTGCTCTTCATTGCCAAAAACAGTGCCATCATCAATGCGCACAAATCACTGCACACATGGCCACTTCCAATTCAGCAGCCCTTCACAGGCGGCCATTCACCTATACGCTCCTGAGTGCCTGAGTGTCCCCTCTCGCGCCCCTGTCACTACTGCGACTGATACACAACGGTGTTGCATCGAGAGACAACTGCTGCGCAGTGTCTTACAAACCAGTTGTGTTATTTGACAAGTGCGGTGACGCGGTCTTACTGCAGCTTGACCTTCATGAAAGCGAACAGAAAGCGCCAAAACTCTTTAGCTGCCACCTTGTCCAAATGCCGCTTGTCCGGGTGAATCTGCCACACACCACAAACACACCCACCACATGCCATACCAATAAGCTACAACCGAACAAGACAGGGCAAAATCCAGACCGGCAACCAACCATCAGCACTTTCACATCCCACTGCTTAATTTCCGGGTTCAACTGAGACCCCTGATTGTAAATGTGCACGCCACACACTGTCAACAACCCAACAACAGCAACACAATCAGTACCCAAAAATCAACACCACTGCGCTCTCCCACAACAGTAACACATCACACACACACGACAGCCCTAATCACACCAACCTTTCTTGAACACTTCCAGCGGAAACTTCCACTTCCATCCCTTGAACTGCCACGACTGTCCCGACACAATAACCCCCACCACCGAGCGCCTACATCCCAAACAAACACACAAAACCCCGCACCTCCCATCAGTCCCTCCCCCTCCCCTCGTAACTAACTAACTAACACACACACACACACACCCTCTCCACCAATCACACACGCACCAGTCCTTATCCCGAAACCGACTGACCGTATCCACAACCTTAAACGTATACACGTGCCCCTCTTCTTCGTGCGTGACCATCATCTCCTGCTGTTTCCTCACCCCTTCGGCCTTCTTCTGCATGTTCGACACATACACGCCTTCTTCCAGAAACTCTTTCGCGTTCAACATGGTAAACAGGTCCGAAAACCCTGCCGGCACGACAATAATCGGCGTGCCCAAGAGCTTCTCCTTGACCAGCCGATGCATGGGCAACTGCTCTCTCCTCGTGCTCGTTGCAGCCGGCATGGCCTCCGCCGACGCCGCTTTCGTCGCCGCTTTCTCAATCTTCTCCTTCGTCTCGGCATTCACGAGCTCCAGCAGCTTCACCACATTGTCAAACGTGGTCCTGTGCGCGTCCAACATGGTGACGCGCGTGCGGAGAACGTACTCCTTGGCCAGCAGCCGCTTGAGCTGCGTCTCCGACGCTCCCATCGGCTTGTCCTGTCTCTGTACCGCGCGCACCGGCGGCGCTTGCCCCTCGTGCCCCGTCTTTGCCCGCTTCAGTGCGCGCGCACTGTCGTCGGCACGCAGAGGTGCTGCGACATGAGCCTCCGGTCGCGTCGACGCGCCGCTGTCGCTTGTGTCCACGATCTGCGCGCTCGTGTCAATGTCGCCCTTGAGATACGCCACGAGCTCCTTCTTGTCCACGGTCGAGACCATCGCAGCTTTCTCCTCGCGGCACTTGAGCACATAGTCGCTGAAGCTCAGACCGGCATACTGAAAACAAGTGTACACGGCCAGCAAGTCGTAGCTCTTGTCCAGCTTCTTCGAGTGGTACGCGGTGGCGCTGTGCTTGTCCAGACGCTGCAGCTCGGCTCCGCTCGCGTCGAGGAACACGAGCGCCTTGTCCTCGACGGCCACGGGTTTCCCGGCAATCACGTGCGCGCGGAGCGCGCGGAGGGCGGCAACCGGAGTGATGGTCGCTAGCGCCATACGGAAACGAAATGAAGAGACGGATGAAAAACCTCGGAGTGAGGTTTTTTGGACACAGACGGGAGGGAGGGTGGGCGACGTGGTGCTATCTTTTCGAGCATAGCTGGCCGGCGGTGGATATTATCCTGGATTTTATTTTTATACGTAAAAAGCGAGCATGACGACGATGCCGCATGTGTTGCTGTATTTTGATGTGAATAAGGTGCGTCTGTTGATTTTGGGATTCGTTAGTGTGCGTGTGTGTGTGTTGGTTGATGCGACGTTACTGGTTACGCTTCTTGTTTTGTGTATGGTAGACGCTGATCATGCACGACCCGATGCAGGGCAAGACGCTGCATCACGTGTTGAACGATTTATTGACCGAACGAGCACTTGGTGCTATCGAAAATGGGTCGAAAAGCTGGATATTTGACGGAAACAAGATGGTCGATGGAAATGGGCAAAACATGGGTACAACCAACGTGTCGTACGGAACCTTTTTGAGAAACCGGTATCCTTCATCAGGTGACGCGAAGGTGGCCACTCAGAATAAACACACGCGAAAAATGTTGCGGCAACAATTCACGGCCAAAGGGAACCCAGGAGAGCTACTGGTGACAGAATTTGAGACGTTGTTGCACAAGTTGCTGCTACCTCGCAATGCCGCAACTCAAGCACAGCGAGAAGCTGTTGGACTGCATGAGTCGCCGCACTGTTTTATCGTACCAGCTTTTTTCAAGTTGATGATGTACCTGCAGGGACACAATGTGTCGTTCAACCTCATTTTTCGGACTTTTGGAGACGATTTGCGGCGAGTGGCACAAGAGTTCAACAGCTTTTGTGAAGGAAAGCATCCGTGTTTCTCGCTCGAGAAACCTATGGATGGGTCTGATGGAGGCGTGGACCGACGCATGTATGTGGATGAAATGGACAACGGCGAAATGCCACGTTTCGGTACATTTTTACGAACGAACAACTCCACAATGCTGATTATGGGTACCTTCCAGCAACCAGAACTAGCTGATGATGTAGAGCCATTGGCGTTCTACGCTTCACAGATGGACTCGGTTCACATCATACACGGATTGCTGAATATCCACGACTTTCTTGCTCGCCGTTGGCGAAAGTCGCAAGCGACATTGGCGTTACGTGACTTTTATCCACATTGGTTTGCCAATCAAGAAAAAGCGACGGCAGGAAAACTTTTGACGTTGCACCCTGTGGATTACGCAGAGAATGTACACGCCATGTTTTTTGATGACAACATCCTGTCACACGATGCACATATTGTTGATGCACGATTAGCTCACGATCATTCTACTGTGAATTTTGACGAAACGCGAGAGGTGCACCTGCTACGCGTTGAGCCGCTTGATGTTATCCGATGCGATACGTACTTTGTCGATCGCTTTGAAACCTCGTTGCAGCAATGGAGACTACAGCAGAAGTAGGTGGTGCGTGCGCTGAAAGTCGTTGATGTGTTTGCTGAAGTCGTTGTAACCCAAGCATGGAGCTGGAGCAAAAGGCTACATGTTGTACTGTGCTGGCATTACTTGGTTCATTGAACCGAGCGAGTCTTAGTGCTGAGAACGTGGCGTACGATTGCATACTTGTACAACAAGTATGCCAGCTCGTATGTCATAGCTGAGACGTGCGAAGGTATGGACGTAACTAACGCTTGTGCGTCGATGGCAATGTCTTTTTGTATGAAACAGTTTCCAGACATATACTGAAAGTCGACAGTGATAGACCCAATGTCTTACCGGTACATCCGACTTGTTGTAGACGGGTTGTCAAACTCACAAGACACCGATACATCCTCGATACATTTTCACCCGTGATGCAAGATGTAGATAATAGAACTTTGATGCACGGTTGAGCTCTTCATTCAAACGATATTTGCGATGTCGGAAATCGTATAAAATATGCAGTCAGATTGAAAGCAGCAGTCGGTAATGTCTTCCGATCCTTTTGACCATTTCGAGGTCGTCAGCACCAAATGCAATCGCACTTCGGTTCCGTCATTGTTATGTCGTGTGCGTACGGATTAGCATTATAAAAGGAAAGATGCAGTGCATACAGGATAGGAATCTTGTTTTAACCGGTCAGTACTGTGATTTTCAAAATAGCATCACTACACATCGATATTGTATGCGTTGAGGGCAATTTAAGTTTTTCACGCACTCAACCGAGGTAGACAAGTATACAGTGGCGTAGCGCAGACGCTGGCATTAGCAAGACATAGACCCGACGTCATAGGGGAAACTACATCTATAGCTCATAGCTTTTGCGGATACTTTTCAAGATCTTGCTTATGCTGACGCCAGTCATACTACATGTACTCCATTCCTTGTGCACACGTACTCACAAGTGCGTTCTGCTGCATATTTACCCGCAGACTGATGTGCTCCTCAGTGTGCAAAGCTAAACATGCGTATTATCCCATCCAAGAAAATGATAGCGTCTGGATGCATTCCCCCGATCCTCTCGTAGTCAGGATATCGAATTTCATTCGACTGCAGTCATTGAATGAGCTGCTTCGCTTTTCATCAGTGCCAAGAGCAGGAGAGCACCATCATCATATTCGCATTGTATCACCAGTGCGTCCATACCGCCAGTGGTGCAGCCACTGGCTTTTTGCAACTTTAGTTTCCAAGTGAGTGCATCACAGGTAGAGAACACGCTATTGCAATCGGCAGCACGATCAAATCTACCAAGGCATGGTGCTTGCTTGAGATCTATCGTGGTGCTACACAAGTTTACTAGCATGTTTCTTGCAGACAGCAACTGGTGTCCACATTCTAATGGTGGACGCTTCGTGCATGTATATTCACTAAATATCTATGGTGACATTGCTTAGGCGTTTCTCTCTGGCACATCATTTCCGCATCAATGTGAGTGGCACTTCTAGAGAGAGCATACCTACACGACACGAATGTACCCGGTATTGCTGCAATTTACTCGGTATTGCTACATCGTTGTACAGTGTACAACGATGTCAAGAGAGCGAGCGGAAGAACGCAATGGGAACAATTCAGCCCAATACAGTGCTCTCTGAATCGACGCTAAGCTTCTACACTATCACTTCAACAGCCTTAGATGTCACCCTTCGTTCAGCTCGGGCCTTGTATACCTTGTGACTCCCACGTGCAGTTGAGCACGCCGTTCGTCTCGATATCGACAAGAACACCATTCGTGATTACACTTGACTCCTTCGTACACGAGCGCTAAAGATGGCCTCAATCTCATCGTTCGAGTGTTATTAACAGGACGAGGCTACTTGAGTGTTCGACCATGGCTTTGCCACTTCCCAGACGCTGTCCACGATACGAACATCAAGAGACGCGTTCTGGTCGGGGCAGTCAGTACCGTATCACGGTTGTGTGTGTACAATGTCTCTCCAAGGGACTAGACACCTCAGAAATGTCGCGTCGGAACAACTTCGTAATAAGAACGAATAACGGGACCTGTTGATGACGGCGTGGGGCTACTCTGTACAAGACAGACGATCTCCTCTTCTGCCTTTTCTATTGGACTCCACCATAGGGCACAGTGGCCGCAGCTTATCCTACTTTCAAGTCACGTGCTACTCCGTGGTACTACTCGCACGAGTTCAGCACGATGCTATGCAACCTCGTACCACCTTCTGGTCGTTCCGTAAAAGCACGCGGTTCCCAAAAGAGGATTGGCGGTACGCGTTATGTAGTAAACTACGTTCGCTTCTTGCGGCAGTCCACGTTAGCGGTTTGTGACCGGATGCAAGACAAAGATAGAGTAGTCCATAACAACTCGCACGTAGCTCTCGTGAAGAAACGAGAGGGAGGAACTGCAATCTCGGTCAAGGCTTTGTGGCCACATGTATGATTTTGCTGCGGCATTGTCCATCGATCTTGAATACTATCGAGGCATAACGACGTGGTAATGGGAAGAAGTTATGGGTAGACAACCGGCTCGATAGTTGCAACCTGCTAGCGAGAGAGCTGGAACGATAGAGGCTGTACCGGTAGCGCACGTAAAGACACAAGTAGGCGAAGAATGTGAGTTTGAGCATATCGTAGGACTCGTGACTGATAACTAGTAGTAGAGAAGTTATCGCTCACTACCCGAGGATCACGTGTAATTGATAGACAAGTGCGCTCTTGCTATCTGCATCATACACAAACTGTTTGTCCTTGTGGAACCACTGCGTATCGCTAAGCCTGTCGTTTGAGTCTGCATGGGCGAAAGAGACTAGTGAGATGATAATCGCGTCCTTTCGGAGGATGTATCCACACTCTACCTTACTGTCACGCACGACGCGCGCTCTTTTGTCAGCCTCCAAATCTAATGAACGCAAGACATCTGTGAGTCAGCCCGCATCGCTAGCAAAAAAGCTGCATGTACGTGTGTAAGCATGGAATCAATCAGTCCGTAAGTAGCATCGTACTGATCCTTGACAAAGGATTTGGAATCATTTACCCGTAACACGTTTCATGCTCGTAGCAGCAACGACTTATTCTAAGATGCAAACCGCCTAGTCCTCTATTGACGACCGAGTTTTGGACACTTCAGCTTAGACTTTTCGTGATCACCAGTGCTCAATGCTCACACACTCGGGTCGGGGTTCCTTCACGTCGTGTTCCACCCTCGACATCATCAGGCGGTGCTGCGTGATTGTCACCGAGAAAAAAGCACGACCGACGGCAAGACGTTGCTCGCGTCTGCACGAACCATCTGCTACAGCTCTCCAGAGTCCGTGCCCTGCTTTAGCAACGACCCCTACATACCATGGCATTCATGGAGACAGCCTACCTCCACCTATTCGGCATCTGCGAAACTGCTTTGACATTTGATAGAAGAAGGTTCTCGCCCAGACAATGCATTTTCCAGGTCCCGATTGAGTGAGTGAGTGAGCTTCATTGAGGTACTTATAAGATCTCTAATGGCTAGGATGAGGGTTTACACCGCCAAGCTATAGAAAAAAAAACAGGGGCTACACAGCTACCCTCCGACCGTAGGAAGCAACCGCCGAAAGAGCAGAAATACTTGGACCCGGGGTATGTGTTGGAGGAAATGCCTGCCACTCGTGCACGTCAGTGCGGAGAAACCGTTGCACTCTTGCAATCAGTGGTCGATTGTCAGTATCGCACGTTTGCTGTGACGTTTTGGAGTCCATCGCAATATTCGCAGCCAAGTCTGCCATTTTGTTGTTCGCGCGGTAGTGATGAGACCACCCGCAGGTTCCTAGGCTATCCGCACATCTTCTCGCCTTGAGATAAAGTTGTCGGAGTCGGGGTTGACGCGGAGGCCGATGCCGCCGCATTTGCTGGATAATTAAAGAGCTGTCACCGACCACGTACAATGGTGTGAGATGTCTAGTTTCAGCGTGACGGAGGCCATGAATGAGCCACCAATATTCCGCCATGTTGTTGGTTGTGCTGTTATGCGCATATGACATGCTCGCCGCCCAGGTAATCTCTGATGCTCGCGTGTCCAGATCAACACAGACCATGACCGAACCGGATCCGCCAGGTCCCGATTGAACTGTTGCAGCGAGGTGTAGCTGGCGTAGTATACTCACTCGCTGCAGTTGTTGCGGACAGTGCAATGGTTTCCGTGCAAGAGTGTCAATGTATCTCCACTCATTCTTTACAGCATGGCCCGGTTCGTATGACTTTTTCAACATCGTATGCTTTTGCAGCGACTGCGCCATGGTCGAAACAACGTTGACTCAAGGAATTTTGTCTTGTTGGACGAGGACGACGTGAGACCACAAGTGCTTTGTGCGTTATGCGAAAAGGAGCGATGCAACAGACGCCCCTCGAACCATCTTGAAAGCTCTACGACCACTAGAGTGAAATCAATGCGAAAACTGTGGTGAGTGACAGCGGCAGGCCATCCCCATCCCATTGCGGTTCTCGCCCGTACAGACGATATCCTCGATAGTAAGCTCAGAAGCTCAAAGAACCGCTCGTGAGTCACGCGACTATACTACGGGTCAGGTATTGTAGCGTCACAACCTCACCTATCCTCTCACCTCTCGCTCGGAATCAAATCGTCACGTCGAGAACGCCACGGGTACAAAGCCGATGTTTGAACTGGTCGAGCGACTTGGACTATGTATGGGCCAAACAAATTTGGATCGTGCAGCTCACGTGGGCTTAAGACCGACACTGCTACACTGGATCCTCCATCCAGCAGCTCTCAGGCTCGTTCTCGCCTTTACGATACGTCTATGCGACAGCAAAAAAGAACCTTTTGATAGGAATATACAGAGTCGCGGCACTGGTGCAAAGATCACCGCGAGTAATTCAGATGGTGCAAGAACCGAAAAATGCATCTGCTTGGTGGTGTAAAACGCGATCGTAATATTTCCCTACTGTCTGGTAGTTCACAAGCACTCGTGCAATGCACCCGACGGCATTGACACTTCATTTTTCATCGAGCTTCCTTCCTCCTGCTTAGTTGATCAATCAATCAATCCGTCTTTTGGACTCGCCTCTTTTGCCTCAGCGTTAAACCACCGACAACAAAAATGCATTGTCGACTTCAACTCGCTCTCGTTGCGTTCCTGGCCTTCATCAGTTGCAGAGCCATTACGGGTACGACAACAGACTCGAGCATCCTGACCACTCCGGGAGATGTTGGAATCGAAGATGTACCAAAGATAATCAAGTCCCATAAAGCGACAACGGAGCCGCCGAGTTCGCCCCGTACTGTAGCACTTGCTGAACTTCGGACGACTTTCAACCAGGACGTGGTCTACGCGACTCCTGCTACTGCCAAGAGCACGGTCCAGTCGACGTACCGCAATTGGGTCGGTCCGTGGAAAATGTCACGGGATACGGCTTGCTACCGTCGGAGTCACATCATGGACAAGTGCCCGAGAAATTTCGACCGCAATGGCTTGACAAACACTTGCTGGGCGGAATGTCCGTTAGAGTACCCGGTCGAGTGTGGCATGGAATGCATCCGACAAAGTGACGACTGTGGCATTGAAGTAGCCAGCAAGGTCTCTGCTGTCGCCATGACGGTCTTCAGCACGGCCACGTTTGGCGTCTTTGGCGAGCTCGCAAAGATTGGAAAGACCCTGTCGTGGGCGGTCCGGTGCTCGAATTCCATGATGCTCGTCATGCGAGGCATCACTCGATACATTCGCACTATGAAAGCGGAAGACCCGCAAGCGTCGGATCGAAAAGTGCTCATTGCGCTCTGCCAGACAGGTACAGTCGTGACCGACTTGCCGATTGCCATCACCGTCTGCATGAAAAAAGCAGTGCCGCCGAACCTTCGGTTTTCACAGTACGTGATGGGTACAGCAGCATGGGCACTCATGCAAGCCCTCGCCCATAACGAGACGATCATTTCCAGTTGGCAGAAGTTCCAAGCGTTCCTCAAAGGAGCCAACTTCACGGAAGCTGCGGACAAGATCACGGACGGCGAGATCTCATCACTGGAGACAGCGATGAAGCAGGACTCGAGCTGTGGAGGGGACCTCATGTCGCTCACGGGACGGATCTGGTCAACCATGAGCGAGTACCGGACCAAGTTCCCCGGCATTTCCGAAGACGACATGCGGCTCAAGATCAGTAACTCGCACCTCGTTCGGCACGACGTGCCCACGGTAACCAACAACTGCATGCACCAAATGATATCGGAATCGACTTTACCTACTGCTTACCAAACTCGCGACACGCTACGCAAAACCATTGGCGTCATTATCAATGACCTCATTGACTCAAAGACGAGCGACAATGGGACGTCGTACGACGATAAACAGCGAGCGTATAGGGCCATTGACATGAGCTTTTCGACTCTCGCCGCAACGTTGATCGATCCCACTCGCATTACGCTACTGGTTTCCGAGTACATCCAGACAATTTGTGGCCCAACTGAGTTCTTGGGCGAGATCGATGACGGCAGGGAAGCTGCTACCCTTGGCTTGAATACAATCGGGGATGCTTTCCGAGGCAGTACGAGCTCCTGGACGAAAAAGGGTGACGGCGCAGTCATTATAAACTTCAAAAGCACCGACAAGAAGGATGTGACCGTGAATATAAGGTCCGGTGGCGACAAGATTGCCAAGGTGGACGTCAAAGCTGGTGGCACTGCTCAATGGAAGTCAAACATCCAACAGTTAGGGGGTAAGGCGTTGTACTTCGACCGTTGGCGTCCAGGTTGGTTTGGCCTTCCGGGTACTGGTGGTGGCTCCTTTGTGATCTGGGTACCAACAGCATCGCAGGGCGGTCATTTAGAGATTGCAGCGAAACTCCACGTGAGCTAGATGATACTTGCTTGGGTCTCTCCTGTATAGAAGACTCTATAGAGTCAATAGAAGTAGTCCAACGCTAGGTCAGCCATCCTGTTGAATGTACAAGCAGTAGATGGCAGTTGCCGTGGTGTTCTTGTTGTTTAAGTTTGTGGCAGTCGCTACTAACACCAGAGCGTACATCTAGTTCTCTCAAGAGCTTTACACAGTGGCTTCCAGCTCGCACTGTAGCAGTACGCAGCAAAGTGCACTTGACGTTTTGATCGCTTCGGTCTGGAATTGTAGGCTACGTCGTGAGCAAACACAAACAGCCCGCGTGGCAGTCATCGATATCTGATTTTGCCACGAAGTTTGTGACTCTGCGAGATCATCTCAGCAAACCTCTTCAAAGAGTGGTAGTCACGTACGTGCACTTCTCGCATCTGAATCCGGCAGCGCGTCGGATTCGAAACAAAATTAAGATCAAGAGTACATAATACTCTTGATCCCAATTTTGTGCTGCTACGATGCATATCCGTTGAAGCCAACGCAAAGTTGTAGCAAGTCATCTCCCCTGTCCATGCAGTCGCGGCAAGATGGATGTGGGGTCGATGGCCACAATAAAATTGGGTATTTATCACGGTGATTGCCGCAAGGTAGCAGGCACTTCTCATACTCTGCCATGCTATTTGACCGTCTCGAAACCAGCGAAGTTGGTTGGTGCAAGATACAAGGGTTTGACATTTTTCATCCCAGTATACGTGCTTATGTTAGCTTGCGCTTGACCTGTTTAGCAGCGTCAACCTCTTGTTTGTATCGAGAGTGGGGGTCTAATCTGTGCTCTATTTACAGTCTATTGATTTCTTGCGTATTGTACAATCGTAATATTTGAATGATAGAAAGTAAACATCAGTAACCAGACCACCCACTCCCCCCAAAACAAGCAAGAAATCTAGCCCCAAGGAAACACAATCGAAAACGTTCAGTCGTAGTATCTGGCTAGTTTTACCCTTGATGAAGGTGTGGTGGGACATGCCTCAACTACTTTCCCATGTGTGAAAATGTTTTGCATTGTGTAAGCAACATGTACAGGGAATTGTCAAATCCACCACACCTTTTTACTAAATCCAACACACCTTTTTACTTAATCACTACATGATTGTTCGACACACGACATCCCACATTGATCTTACAAGCGATAGGTTATTGCTTGTACCTATTATATGTATTTGGACTCAACGGAGCGAGTAGCATCAGAACAAGTGCCAGTGTACAACGAAGTGTACATTAAGACCCTACAGCAACATCATACAGCCAACAGCGGGAGCGAGAGCGATAGTGTGCAGTCGAGCGAATCTCACCCCAACACAAGAAATCCAATCCGGCTTAGATTGGAACTACTTCCAGCAAGACCAAGAGTACTTGGCGGGGGCGAGACCGTTTGGTGGCGGTAGTTTTTCATCTTTGCTGTATTAATCTTACCATGTCAGCGACTGATGACAAAGCGGCAGGCTACAAGGAATTAAACACAAATATGGCTTTCCCCGACCGGGAAGCCTTGATATGTTACGTCAAAATGCACAGGGTGCGGACAGGCTTTTCGTACACAATAGCAAGGTATGAGGCTGCACGTGGCACATTGTACCATAAGTGTGGCTGTGGTGGCGAGGAAAGACAAGACAAGGTTCCAATGACAACGAAGAAGCGTAAAAGCAGTACACGCCTATCTGGATACTTATGGAGGGCAACAGGCGGAAACAAGAGAAAAAAGGTAAATGTACAATGGGGTTACACGGAGGTTATTGAACCGGTTATGTTGTGTGTCCACACCAAGTAAAGATCGGTGGATTGGAGTGGTACATTATTGGTGCCATGTACTTACGGTAATACCATACCTTATCGGAGAGGGATAAGGGTTAAGACTTCTGTCATAGGATCGCAGCGTAGATGTCAGTTAGACAAGGTGTTAGGTTTTACTACCGTAGTTGAAGAATCAATAAAGCTCAGTTCCCCTTTTGAATCGTTGGACACAAGTGTCTAGTCAAGGCGTAGTGAGTTGTTATGAGCATTTGCCTTGTAAAGGTGCTTACTCTTGTTTAGCTAGTAGTGACTAGTTAGTGTGTGATTCTGTGAATCGTAATTTCTTTGGAACCGGGATTGTTAAGCTTGTACGCTTGAACGTCTGTACGTCGTTGTTAGTATATTATGACCAAACAATAGACTCTTTGAGTCTAAGACTTCCTCTGCTAAAGAGCGCTAAGTAGCTCCGCTACAAAATTGATGCTAAACCTGGTGAAACGGAACTTGCAACCATGAGCCTTCAACTAATTTCACCGCACACCCATCCGCAAGACGTTAATCTGTGGGATCGAACGTTATCTTATACGGCATTGGAATCCGGTACTACTGCTCGCTAAATCCTGACACAGCTGAACTAGCAATATCCCGATCTCTGGCAATAACTGGCAATAATTGCTCGTACACTTTATAACCGAAGCAAAGCGACACCTTAATGGCTAGCAGTACGTTCAACCATTGCTGCGCTTATTGATGACGGAAGGATAGCGTGTTCCAGTACACGGTGCAGTTCGGTACAAAAAGGAAGGTTGACCGGCTCTTTTTGTACACATCCCGGTAGAATCAATTTGGCAATATTTTTAAATTGGTAATCATGCTAAGTAGCACGTACAAGGCCAACAGATACGGAATGCCTCTTCTTCACGCTGTGGACGCAATGGTATCAAAAATCTGTCTCGATTGGCTTTGCGTCCCTCTTTGATGAAGATGTAAGTGAGTATCGTTTGCCGCTTACTAAAATCAGCAAACTTTTGCTGGACAGCTACCCGCAGTCATTGTCTCAGATGCAGACCCAGCGTTAGCGTTGGCAACTAATACACATTTCTCGAACTCGCGGCACCCCCTATGCATTTGGCATATTAACAAGAACGCGCTAGTGCAAGGGATAAAGAACATTAAGGGCAATAATTGTTGTACAAAATTTATGAAGTCATTGTACAGCTTTTGTGGGGTGGCAAAATAGACTGAATTTGACACGCAACTGTTCTAAAATCTGTGCGATTTCCGTTGCTTATCAAGTAGTTGAGTGACGCCTGGCTTCTTCTTAAGGGATTTTTTATTGCAGCATGGACCGAAAGTTGTCGACATCTTTCCAATACGTCAACCTCTGCTTGTGAAGGTGCCCACGCCGCACTGGAAGGACGTTTGCAAGTTATTACGGGTAATCTGTATGGTGTACAGGAGCGAAGTACACACATAATGAAGTGTTAAGCTCTTGAATTTCAGGTCGCTAAAGCCAGCGAGAAGATTCGAATACAACATATCCTCTACGAAACCGCTTATTAAGACATTCTTGGCAAAGTAACCGTATACGCACTTCTCCTAGTAGAAAGGCAGCGCAGAAAGATTGCTAGAATGGAGGTAAGAGCAGCTTTAACAAAGTTCTTTGGGATATTCAAAGAACTGCAATGAGTCTACCATGTACTCGTAACATAAATTTACTAGCTGAAGTTGAAGGTGTAACGCTAAACTCCATATCTCCGCTTTAAAGTTGCAGCACGTTGCAAACACTGTTCAAGCAGATCGTAGAATGGAAGTCAAATCAGCATTTCGTAAAAATTCAAGAGCGACTGCATAATCGTCAAATACCTTACAACAACTAGTCAGCTGCTCGGCAAGTGGTTAGGCATAATCGGGTATAGCGCTTGGGGTTGGGCAAATGCCTCTGCTTACGCCACCGCTAACTGTTGAGAATACGCCGCTTCGTGCAGTCGTTTCATGTTGGGTTCATGGTGATGATTTCTGTGTCAGGGTGTTTTCATGGTGGTTATTACGGAAGAAGGTTATGGATCGCGGTTACATGATGAGATCACAGGATGTCGTTACATTAAGGCTTAGACTTAGCTAAGGGTAGTGAACTAAGGACCTTAAATATATTCACTTCGGCTTTTACATCCAACTACCCCAACAGGTTAACAGCCGCAACTCGGACAGCGGCGTCAAGACCAAGAACGCCTCGCCTCGCACATGATGAGTACCAAGCGCGCCGAAGTCCTCCTAGGAAGTGGAAATTATTTCCATTGGGAGTTCAATATGAGGATGTCGCTCGCCAGAAAAGGACTGCTGGCGCACGTGGAGGTGGTCAAGGCGGAGAGTGAGATAACGGAAGCTTGGTTAGTAAATGACGCAAAGGCTCTCGGCATCATCGCGCAGGGTGTGGAACTACAACACCAGACAAAGATCCGTTCGTCGACGCGTGCTATTCAAGCGTGGGTAACACTTAGGGAGTTCTACAATCGCACTACACTCCACAATCGGGTCACGATGACACGGCGCCTCCACGAATTCAAGATGGATGCTGGAACGGCCATGGCAAAGCATTTGGACGCTTTCGACGAGCTCGTTGTCGGTCTTCAGACGCTTGGAGAGCCCGTCGACGAGGCACGGCAGCTAGTAGTGCTGCTGAGCAGCCTTCCAGCCGAATACGAGCTGATATCGTCGATCATCGAGAACGTCAAGGACATCACGCTCATCGAGGTGAAAGAGAAGCTGTTGAAGGAGTGTGAACGGTTGGAGAAGAAACACACGACTTCGGAACGAGCATTTAAGGTCAACGCTGGACGTTTCAAGGACAACAAGAGGAGTGGTCGCAAGTGGAGCGATCAGAAGAAGAACTCTAGTGGTTTCCAAGGCAAGTGTTTCAAGTGCAACAAAGTTGGGCACATGAAGCGGGACTGTCAAGAGGGAACAACAGACGGCGATGCGGTATTTGTTGTGAGCACAGAACGTGTAAACGGATGGTTGATCGACAGCGGCGCGACCGCCCACATGACCCCGCACCGTTCCGATCTGTTCGAGTATGAGAACGTGAATGGTGGCATCGAAGTAACAATCGCTGACGGAAAGAAGCTGCAGGTCACTGGACGTGGTACGGTACGCTTGCTTGGACTGGACGGTAAACGGATTAAGATGGTTGAAGTTCTTCACATACCAGGCCTCGATCGGCGTCTGTTGTCAGTGGGGAAGCTCGCGGATCGTGGACTGAACGTGGAGTTTCAGCGTTCCTCATGTGTTATATGGGGAGCAGCTAGCGCAATTGCGAAGGGCAAGAAGGTCGGCAAGGCTTACATGTTAGACTGTGAACAAGAAGAAGCTCGGTTCGTCCAGTACGCCGGGGCTGACAGCAAGTGGGAGCTTTGGCACGCTCGCATGGGGCATCCCAACCAGGATGCTCTGGATAAGACAAGGCATGCCACGAACGGTATTCCGGCTGTTGGTCAACCGCCCCAGTCTTTGTGCGGCGGATGCATGAAGGGGAAGCAAACGGTGGCTAAATTTCCGCATTGTTCCAGCTCGAAGACGTCGCGCATTCTTGAGCTCGTCCACACGGATATGATGGGACCAATGAATAATCCTTCGAAAGGTGGTGCCAAGTATGTCCTGACGTTCGTGGACGACTACTCGCGCTACGTTGTGGCCTATTTCTTGAAAAAGAAGAGCGAGCTGGCCATTAAGCTTGGAGAGTTCATGACTTTCTATGAGAATCAATGGGGAGAGCGCATGAAGTGTTTACGATCGGATAACGGAACGGAGTTTGTCAACCAAGAGATGACGAAGATATGTATGCTGAACGGTATCGTGCACCAACGGACTGTCCCGTATAGCCCTCAGCAGAATGGAGTGGCAGAACGGATGAACCGAACTATCATGGAGAGATCTCGAAGTATGCTATACTACAAGGGCGTTCCAATGGAGTGGTGGGCTGAAGCAGTTAGTACTGCGGTATATCTAATCAACCGTTCCACGAACACGCACAACGCAACCGTAACACCGTTTGAGCTAGGTTTCAAAGTAAAACCTACGCTAGATCACCTACGCGTATTTGGTTCTCGCGGGTACGCTCACATTGACGAAGCGAAGAGGACGAAGCTTGAACCTAAGAGCTTTAGATGTCTGCTGCTCGGATACCCAGAAAACGTCAAGGGTTACCGTGTCTACGACTTGGACGCTTCCAAGGTCAAAGTTTCTCGCTCGGTGAAATTGGACGAGCGTGAGGTAGATGGTATTTACGATACACTACCTGCTCAGATTGAAACAGTTATTCATGTTAGCACAGACGCCGATGATGAAGTCACGCTCGCACCAGTGGAACTTCAACCCGTCGAAGCGAAACCCATGGAAGGCGTTGAGAACGACGCACCGGATGTAGAGATGGAGAGCATGCAACCGATACAGGACGCTATACCGCCGCTGCTGATGCCACAAGAACGGTCAGCTCCCACTGGATTTGAGTTGGAACCGTACCGTGGACCACCGACTATCTTCGAGGACGATCAAGTGGTGTTCCATACCCCTAGAGACCGTTTTAGAAGTTCCCGGGAACCAGTCTTCCTTCTAGAAGAGGGAACGGACGCAGAGGAAGAACGGAAGTCGGAAGGAAGAGATGGACCGTCCTATCCGAAGCGTGCCAGGATCGATGAAGACGGCCTTATTGCTGAAGCCGTCCTCGCGTACGCAGCAAGCATTGACACAGTGGATCTTCCTACAACATACGCTCAGGCAATTGCCAGTGAAGATTCAACACAGTGGCGTGAAGCCATGGATGCTGAACTGCTCTCTCATAAACGGAACAATACCTGGACATTAGTTCCACGAGGAACGGCCATCCGTACCATTGGGTGCAGATGGGTGTTCGCCAAGAAGCGTGACCAGAACGGTCGCGTGGTGCGCTTCGAATCGCGGTTGGTGGCGAAGGGTTTCAAGCAGAAGTACGGAGTGGATCTTTTTGAAACGTACTCTCCTGTGGCGAACATGAACTCGATTCGAGTTGTGCTCTCAGTCTGCGCTGCTTTCGCGTACCAGATGGAACAGTTGGACGCTGACACAGCGTTCCTCAACAGTGAGTTGGAGGACCGTGTCTACATGGAGGTACCAATTGGCGTTGAGAACGCTCAGAACTATGTGTGCCAGCTGAACAAGGCCATCTATGGACTGAAGCAAGCTGCAAGTGCCTGGAACAAGACCATTCATCGGGTATTTCTTGGGTACGGATTCAAGAGCTGTGGTGCGGACCAGTGCGTCTATGTCAAGCGTTCCAAGAGCAATTTCATTTACGTCTGTCTTTACGTAGATGATATGATCATTGCGGCGAAGACTAGTGATGAAATTGATGACGTGAAAAACGCACTCAAGAGTGTCTTTAAGATGAAGGAGCTTGGACCGGCGAAATTTATCCTGGGAATGGAGATCGACCATAACATGACTGCTGGAACGCTTATGATTAAGCAAACGCGATACATCGATGATGTGGCAAAATGGTTCGGGCAAGAGAACGCTAATTCGGTTGACAACCCGTGTGCAACTGGTCTTAAGTTGTCAAAGTCGCAATCGCCAGCAACGGATGAAGAGCGAAGAAAGATGCAATCGAGACCGTACCGCTCCTTAATTGGATGCCTACTGTATATCACGACGTGTACTCGCCCGGACATTTCATTCGTGGTAACGCAACTTTCTCGTTTCCTGGAGAATCCCGGGACGCAGCATTGGGACGCTGCTATACGTGTTCTACGCTACTTAAAGACGACTCGCCAGCACGGGATCATCTACAAAGGTGGTACTGGCAGCGTCACAGCTGAAGCCTACTCGGATGCGGACTGGGGTTCCAACCTCGACGACAGGCGTTCTGTCTCGGGGGTTATGATCATGATTGGGAACGCTCCGGTGGTGTTCAAATCTAAGTTCCAACGAACGGTTGCCCTCAGCTCAGCGGAAGCTGAGTATATGGCTTTAAGCCTATGCGTTCAGGAAGTGCTATGGACGCGTGCGATACTGACGGACATGGGAATGGTACAAATAAACGCTACCCAGATATGGGAGGACAATGAAGGAGCGATTGCTTTGGCCCAAAACGCTGGTTATCATGCTCGGACCAAGCATGTGGACATCCGTCATCACTTCATCAGAGAGACGATCGAAGACGGGACGGTTGCGGTAGCGTATGTGGACACCAAACATCAATTGGCCGACATACTGACCAAGGCGCTAGGATCCAAGACGTACAAGTTCCTGCGCGATGCAAACAGTATCCAGTGCAAAGAAACCAAGCAGTAGTGGCGAGTGGGAGTGTTGAGAATACGCCGCTTCGTGCAGTCGTTTCATGTTGGGTTCATGGTGATGATTTCTGTGTCAGGGTGTTTTCATGGTGGTTATTACGGAAGAAGGTTATGGATCGCGGTTACATGATGAGATCACAGGATGTCGTTACATTAAGGCTTAGACTTAGCTAAGGGTAGTGAACTAAGGACCTTAAATATATTCACTTCGGCTTTTACATCCAACTACCCCAACAGGTTAACAGCCGCAACTCGGACAGCGGCGTCAAGACCAAGAACGCCTCGCCTCGCACATGATGAGTACCAAGCGCGCCGAAGTCCTCCTAGGAAGTGGAAATTATTTCCATTGGGAGTTCAATATGAGGATGTCGCTCGCCAGAAAAGGACTGCTGGCGCACGTGGAGGTGGTCAAGGCGGAGAGTGAGATAACGGAAGCTTGGTTAGTAAATGACGCAAAGGCTCTCGGCATCATCGCGCAGGGTGTGGAACTACAACACCAGACAAAGATCCGTTCGTCGACGCGTGCTATTCAAGCGTGGGTAACACTTAGGGAGTTCTACAATCGCACTACACTCCACAATCGGGTCACGATGACACGGCGCCTCCACGAATTCAAGATGGATGCTGGAACGGCCATGGCAAAGCATTTGGACGCTTTCGACGAGCTCGTTGTCGGTCTTCAGACGCTTGGAGAGCCCGTCGACGAGGCACGGCAGCTAGTAGTGCTGCTGAGCAGCCTTCCAGCCGAATACGAGCTGATATCGTCGATCATCGAGAACGTCAAGGACATCACGCTCATCGAGGTGAAAGAGAAGCTGTTGAAGGAGTGTGAACGGTTGGAGAAGAAACACACGACTTCGGAACGAGCATTTAAGGTCAACGCTGGACGTTTCAAGGACAACAAGAGGAGTGGTCGCAAGTGGAGCGATCAGAAGAAGAACTCTAGTGGTTTCCAAGGCAAGTGTTTCAAGTGCAACAAAGTTGGGCACATGAAGCGGGACTGTCAAGAGGGAACAACAGACGGCGATGCGGTATTTGTTGTGAGCACAGAACGTGTAAACGGATGGTTGATCGACAGCGGCGCGACCGCCCACATGACCCCGCACCGTTCCGATCTGTTCGAGTATGAGAACGTGAATGGTGGCATCGAAGTAACAATCGCTGACGGAAAGAAGCTGCAGGTCACTGGACGTGGTACGGTACGCTTGCTTGGACTGGACGGTAAACGGATTAAGATGGTTGAAGTTCTTCACATACCAGGCCTCGATCGGCGTCTGTTGTCAGTGGGGAAGCTCGCGGATCGTGGACTGAACGTGGAGTTTCAGCGTTCCTCATGTGTTATATGGGGAGCAGCTAGCGCAATTGCGAAGGGCAAGAAGGTCGGCAAGGCTTACATGTTAGACTGTGAACAAGAAGAAGCTCGGTTCGTCCAGTACGCCGGGGCTGACAGCAAGTGGGAGCTTTGGCACGCTCGCATGGGGCATCCCAACCAGGATGCTCTGGATAAGACAAGGCATGCCACGAACGGTATTCCGGCTGTTGGTCAACCGCCCCAGTCTTTGTGCGGCGGATGCATGAAGGGGAAGCAAACGGTGGCTAAATTTCCGCATTGTTCCAGCTCGAAGACGTCGCGCATTCTTGAGCTCGTCCACACGGATATGATGGGACCAATGAATAATCCTTCGAAAGGTGGTGCCAAGTATGTCCTGACGTTCGTGGACGACTACTCGCGCTACGTTGTGGCCTATTTCTTGAAAAAGAAGAGCGAGCTGGCCATTAAGCTTGGAGAGTTCATGACTTTCTATGAGAATCAATGGGGAGAGCGCATGAAGTGTTTACGATCGGATAACGGAACGGAGTTTGTCAACCAAGAGATGACGAAGATATGTATGCTGAACGGTATCGTGCACCAACGGACTGTCCCGTATAGCCCTCAGCAGAATGGAGTGGCAGAACGGATGAACCGAACTATCATGGAGAGATCTCGAAGTATGCTATACTACAAGGGCGTTCCAATGGAGTGGTGGGCTGAAGCAGTTAGTACTGCGGTATATCTAATCAACCGTTCCACGAACACGCACAACGCAACCGTAACACCGTTTGAGCTAGGTTTCAAAGTAAAACCTACGCTAGATCACCTACGCGTATTTGGTTCTCGCGGGTACGCTCACATTGACGAAGCGAAGAGGACGAAGCTTGAACCTAAGAGCTTTAGATGTCTGCTGCTCGGATACCCAGAAAACGTCAAGGGTTACCGTGTCTACGACTTGGACGCTTCCAAGGTCAAAGTTTCTCGCTCGGTGAAATTGGACGAGCGTGAGGTAGATGGTATTTACGATACACTACCTGCTCAGATTGAAACAGTTATTCATGTTAGCACAGACGCCGATGATGAAGTCACGCTCGCACCAGTGGAACTTCAACCCGTCGAAGCGAAACCCATGGAAGGCGTTGAGAACGACGCACCGGATGTAGAGATGGAGAGCATGCAACCGATACAGGACGCTATACCGCCGCTGCTGATGCCACAAGAACGGTCAGCTCCCACTGGATTTGAGTTGGAACCGTACCGTGGACCACCGACTATCTTCGAGGACGATCAAGTGGTGTTCCATACCCCTAGAGACCGTTTTAGAAGTTCCCGGGAACCAGTCTTCCTTCTAGAAGAGGGAACGGACGCAGAGGAAGAACGGAAGTCGGAAGGAAGAGATGGACCGTCCTATCCGAAGCGTACCAGGATCGATGAAGACGGCCTTATTGCTGAAGCCGTCCTCGCGTACGCAGCAAGCATTGACACAGTGGATCTTCCTACAACATACGCTCAGGCAATTGCCAGTGAAGATTCAACACAGTGGCGTGAAGCCATGGATGCTGAACTGCTCTCTCATAAACGGAACAATACCTGGACATTAGTTCCACGAGGAACGGCCATCCGTACCATTGGGTGCAGATGGGTGTTCGCCAAGAAGCGTGACCAGAACGGTCGCGTGGTGCGCTTCGAATCGCGGTTGGTGGCGAAGGGTTTCAAGCAGAAGTACGGAGTGGATCTTTTGAAACGTACTCTCCTGTGGCGAACATGAACTCGATTCGAGTTGTGCTCTCAGTCTGCGCTGCTTTCGCGTACCAGATGGAACAGTTGGACGCTGACACAGCGTTCCTCAACAGTGAGTTGGAGGACCGTGTCTACATGGAGGTACCAATTGGCGTTGAGAACGCTCAGAACTATGTGTGCCAGCTGAACAAGGCCATCTATGGACTGAAGCAAGCTGCAAGTGCCTGGAACAAGACCATTCATCGGGTATTTCTTGGGTACGGATTCAAGAGCTGTGGTGCGGACCAGTGCGTCTATGTCAAGCGTTCCAAGAGCAATTTCATTTACGTCTGTCTTTACGTAGATGATATGATCATTGCGGCGAAGACTAGTGATGAAATTGATGACGTGAAAAACGCACTCAAGAGTGTCTTTAAGATGAAGGAGCTTGGACCGGCGAAATTTATCCTGGGAATGGAGATCGACCATAACATGACTGCTGGAACGCTTATGATTAAGCAAACGCGATACATCGATGATGTGGCAAAATGGTTCGGGCAAGAGAACGCTAATTCGGTTGACAACCCGTGTGCAACTGGTCTTAAGTTGTCAAAGTCGCAATCGCCAGCAACGGATGAAGAGCGAAGAAAGATGCAATCGAGACCGTACCGCTCCTTAATTGGATGCCTACTGTATATCACGACGTGTACTCGCCCGGACATTTCATTCGTGGTAACGCAACTTTCTCGTTTCCTGGAGAATCCCGGGACGCAGCATTGGGACGCTGCTATACGTGTTCTACGCTACTTAAAGACGACTCGCCAGCACGGGATCATCTACAAAGGTGGTACTGGCAGCGTCACAGCTGAAGCCTACTCGGATGCGGACTGGGGTTCCAACCTCGACGACAGGCGTTCTGTCTCGGGGGTTATGATCATGATTGGGAACGCTCCGGTGGTGTTCAAATCTAAGTTCCAACGAACGGTTGCCCTCAGCTCAGCGGAAGCTGAGTATATGGCTTTAAGCCTATGCGTTCAGGAAGTGCTATGGACGCGTGCGATACTGACGGACATGGGAATGGTACAAATAAACGCTACCCAGATATGGGAGGACAATGAAGGAGCGATTGCTTTGGCCCAAAACGCTGGTTATCATGCTCGGACCAAGCATGTGGACATCCGTCATCACTTCATCAGAGAGACGATCGAAGACGGGACGGTTGCGGTAGCGTATGTGGACACCAAACATCAATTGGCCGACATACTGACCAAGGCGCTAGGATCCAAGACGTACAAGTTCCTGCGCGATGCAAACAGTATCCAGTGCAAAGAAACCAAGCAGTAGCGGCGAGTGGGAGTGTTGAGAATACGCCGCTTCGTGCAGTCGTTTCATGTTGGGTTCATGGTGATGATTTCTGTGTCAGGGTGTTTTCATGGTGGTTATTACGGAAGAAGGTTATGGATCGCGGTTACATGATGAGATCACAGGATGTCGTTACATTAAGGCTTAGACTTAGCTAAGGGTAGTGAACTAAGGACCTTAAATATATTCACTTCGGCTTTTACATCCAACTACCCCAACAGGTTAACAGCCGCAACTCGGACAGCGGCGTCAAGACCAAGAACGCCTCGCCTCGCACATGATGAGTACCAAGCGCGCCGAAGTCCTCCTAGGAAGTGGAAATTATTTCCATTGGGAGTTCAATATGAGGATGTCGCTCGCCAGAAAAGGACTGCTGGCGCACGTGGAGGTGGTCAAGGCGGAGAGTGAGATAACGGAAGCTTGGTTAGTAAATGACGCAAAGGCTCTCGGCATCATCGCGCAGGGTGTGGAACTACAACACCAGACAAAGATCCGTTCGTCGACGCGTGCTATTCAAGCGTGGGTAACACTTAGGGAGTTCTACAATCGCACTACACTCCACAATCGGGTCACGATGACACGGCGCCTCCACGAATTCAAGATGGATGCTGGAACGGCCATGGCAAAGCATTTGGACGCTTTCGACGAGCTCGTTGTCGGTCTTCAGACGCTTGGAGAGCCCGTCGACGAGGCACGGCAGCTAGTAGTGCTGCTGAGCAGCCTTCCAGCCGAATACGAGCTGATATCGTCGATCATCGAGAACGTCAAGGACATCACGCTCATCGAGGTGAAAGAGAAGCTGTTGAAGGAGTGTGAACGGTTGGAGAAGAAACACACGACTTCGGAACGAGCATTTAAGGTCAACGCTGGACGTTTCAAGGACAACAAGAGGAGTGGTCGCAAGTGGAGCGATCAGAAGAAGAACTCTAGTGGTTTCCAAGGCAAGTGTTTCAAGTGCAACAAAGTTGGGCACATGAAGCGGGACTGTCAAGAGGGAACAACAGACGGCGATGCGGTATTTGTTGTGAGCACAGAACGTGTAAACGGATGGTTGATCGACAGCGGCGCGACCGCCCACATGACCCCGCACCGTTCCGATCTGTTCGAGTATGAGAACGTGAATGGTGGCATCGAAGTAACAATCGCTGACGGAAAGAAGCTGCAGGTCACTGGACGTGGTACGGTACGCTTGCTTGGACTGGACGGTAAACGGATTAAGATGGTTGAAGTTCTTCACATACCAGGCCTCGATCGGCGTCTGTTGTCAGTGGGGAAGCTCGCGGATCGTGGACTGAACGTGGAGTTTCAGCGTTCCTCATGTGTTATATGGGGAGCAGCTAGCGCAATTGCGAAGGGCAAGAAGGTCGGCAAGGCTTACATGTTAGACTGTGAACAAGAAGAAGCTCGGTTCGTCCAGTACGCCGGGGCTGACAGCAAGTGGGAGCTTTGGCACGCTCGCATGGGGCATCCCAACCAGGATGCTCTGGATAAGACAAGGCATGCCACGAACGGTATTCCGGCTGTTGGTCAACCGCCCCAGTCTTTGTGCGGCGGATGCATGAAGGGGAAGCAAACGGTGGCTAAATTTCCGCATTGTTCCAGCTCGAAGACGTCGCGCATTCTTGAGCTCGTCCACACGGATATGATGGGACCAATGAATAATCCTTCGAAAGGTGGTGCCAAGTATGTCCTGACGTTCGTGGACGACTACTCGCGCTACGTTGTGGCCTATTTCTTGAAAAAGAAGAGCGAGCTGGCCATTAAGCTTGGAGAGTTCATGACTTTCTATGAGAATCAATGGGGAGAGCGCATGAAGTGTTTACGATCGGATAACGGAACGGAGTTTGTCAACCAAGAGATGACGAGGATATGTATGCTGAACGGTATCGTGCACCAACGGACTGTCCCGTATAGCCCTCAGCAGAATGGAGTGGCAAAACGGATGAACCGAACTATCATGGAGAGATCTCGAAGTATGCTATACTACAAGGGCGTTCCAATGGAGTGGTGGGCTGAAGCAGTTAGTACTGCGGTATATCTAATCAACCGTTCCACGAACACGCACAACGCAACCGTAACACCGTTTGAGCTAGGTTTCAAAGTAAAACCTACGCTAGATCACCTACGCGTATTTGGTTCTCGCGGGTACGCTCACATTGACGAAGCGAAGAGGACGAAGCTTGAACCTAAGAGCTTTAGATGTCTGCTGCTCGGATACCCAGAAAACGTCAAGGGTTACCGTGTCTACGACTTGGACGCTTCCAAGGTCAAAGTTTCTCGCTCGGTGAAATTGGACGAGCGTGAGGTAGATGGTATTTACGATACACTACCTGCTCAGATCGAAACAGTTATTCATGTTAGCACAGACGCCGATGATGAAGTCACGCTCGCACCAGTGGAACTTCAACCCGTCGAAGCGAAACCCATGGAAGGCGTTGAGAACGACGCACCGGATGTAGAGATGGAGAGCATGCAACCGATACAGGACGCTATACCGCCGCTGCTGATGCCACAAGAACGGTCAGCTCCCACTGGATTTGAGTTGGAACCGTACCGTGGACCACCGACTATCTTCGAGGACGATCAAGTGGTGTTCCATACCCCTAGAGACCGTTTTAGAAGTTCCCGGGAACCAGTCTTCCTTCTAGAAGAGGGAACGGACGCAGAGGAAGAACGGAAGTCGGAAGGAAGAGATGGACCGTCCTATCCGAAGCGTGCCAGGATCGATGAAGACGGCCTTATTGCTGAAGCCGTCCTCGCGTACGCAGCAAGCATTGACACAGTGGATCTTCCTACAACATACGCTCAGGCAATTGCCAGTGAAGATTCAACACAGTGGCGTGAAGCCATGGATGCTGAACTGCTCTCTCATAAACGGAACAATACCTGGACATTAGTTCCACGAGGAACGGCCATCCGTACCATTGGGTGCAGATGGGTGTTCGCCAAGAAGCGTGACCAGAACGGTCGCGTGGTGCGCTTCGAATCGCGGTTGGTGGCGAAGGGTTTCAAGCAGAAGTACGGAGTGGATCTTTTGAAACGTACTCTCCTGTGGCGAACATGAACTCGATTCGAGTTGTGCTCTCAGTCTGCGCTGCTTTCGCGTACCAGATGGAACAGTTGGACGCTGACACAGCGTTCCTCAACAGTGAGTTGGAGGACCGTGTCTACATGGAGGTACCAATTGGCGTTGAGAACGCTCAGAACTATGTGTGCCAGATGAACAAGGCCATCTATGGACTGAAGCAAGCTGCAAGTGCCTGGAACAAGACCATTCATCGGGTATTTCTTGGGTACGGATTCAAGAGCTGTGGTGCGGACCAGTGCGTCTATGTCAAGCGTTCCAAGAGCAATTTCATTTACGTCTGTCTTTACGTAGATGATATGATCATTGCGGCGAAGACTAGTGATGAAATTGATGACGTGAAAAACGCACTCAAGAGTGTCTTTAAGATGAAGGAGCTTGGACCGGCGAAATTTATCCTGGGAATGGAGATCGACCATAACATGACTGCTGGAACGCTTATGATTAAGCAAACGCGATACATCGATGATGTGGCAAAACGGTTCGGGCAAGAGAACGCTAATTCGGTTGACAACCCGTGTGCAACTGGTCTTAAGTTGTCAAAGTCGCAATCGCCAGCAACGGATGAAGAGCGAAGAAAGATGCAATCGAGACCGTACCGCTCCTTAATTGGATGCCTACTGTATATCACGACGTGTACTCGCCCGGACATTTCATTCGTGGTAACGCAACTTTCTCGTTTCCTGGAGAATCCCGGGACGCAGCATTGGGACGCTGCTATACGTGTTCTACGCTACTTAAAGACGACTCGCCAGCACGGGATCATCTACAAAGGTGGTACTGGCAGCGTCACAGCTGAAGCCTACTCGGATGCGGACTGGGGTTCCAACCTCGACGACAGGCGTTCTGTCTCGGGGGTTATGATCATGATTGGGAACGCTCCGGTGGTGTTCAAATCTAAGTTCCAACGAACGGTTGCCCTCAGCTCAGCGGAAGCTGAGTATATGGCTTTAAGCCTATGCGTTCAGGAAGTGCTATGGACGCGTGCGATACTGACGGACATGGGAATGGTACAAATAAACGCTACCCAGATATGGGAGGACAATGAAGGAGCGATTGCTTTGGCCCAAAACGCTGGTTATCATGCTCGGACCAAGCATGTGGACATCCGTCATCACTTCATCAGAGAGACGATCGAAGACGGGACGGTTGCGGTAGCGTATGTGGACACCAAACATCAATTGACCGACATACTGACCAAGGCGCTAGGATCCAAGACGTACAAGTTCCTGCGCGATGCAAACAGTATCCAGTGCAAAGAAACCAAGCAGTAGCGGCGAGTGGGAGTGTTGAGAATACGCCGCTTCGTGCAGTCGTTTCATGTTGGGTTCATGGTGATGATTTCTGTGTCAGGGTGTTTTCATGGTGGTTATTACGGAAGAAGGTTATGGATCGCGGTTACATGATGAGATCACAGGATGTCGTTACATTAAGGCTTAGACTTAGCTAAGGGTAATGAACTAAGGACCTTAAATATATTCACTTCGGCTTTTACATCCAACTACCCCAACACTAACAGTAAAATTAAAACGACGCCCATTTGGAGCAAAAAAAGGTCAAAGTCATTAGAATAGAGGGGTCTATCTGCTTTTGAGATTTGCAAGCGAACACGTCATTGCATCAATTGTCGCATCACATTGCACGATGCTCGAAAATGCGATGGTCATAATATAAAGAAGGATGTACCACTCACGCCAATTCCTAAATTTGCATTGCACCGGCATGATGCGATTACCCCACCCAAGCTCACCCCCGAAGTGACAGACATGCCTGGTGATGGTCACTGCGGCTTCCATGCAATCTTGATTCTTGATGGCGAGCCTTACCGCAGATGGTTGGAAAAATGTGCGAGCAAGTTTGATAAAATCTTGCCGTGAACTGCTTATTTTGCCGCAAAATAAGTTTGATACGGCTGCACGAGAGGCGTGTATTGACAGGAAAGGAAAAAAGGAAAGCCTGCACCTTAAGCGAACTGGCTGATTGCTCCAAATTGTTCTATCCTAACAGCTACGGCACATGAGCGACATGTTGTGGTATTGACCGATGAGGGCCAGGCAACACCATATCGTCCGTAAAACACGGCAGCAAGACGTGCGGAATAGACATTGCTACATGTAATCAGAAATCACTGGCGCGCGACAGAGCTGTTTCCTGACAGTGTACTTTCCCCACTTGACACTTTCTATGGATATCGTTCCGGTCCAGAACAACGCGTTTTTCGGATGCCACACTTACGAGATCGTATAGTGCGTTGGAATCCCGTTATGTAAGAGCATAACTCATGTCCATTCAGTAAAGTCATGCAGACATTCGATGCAAATCACAAACACACGTACTAGAGTACCTCTTTTTAGACAGCATCTTATAACCTCACTGAATCCAGTTCTCATCGTATAAGCTTATTCACCCGCTATCCTGGATGCTGTTCTTCTTGGTCGCACGCTGCACCCATTACGGCTCCTTGATTTGTGCAAAGATCTTCTACTTCATGCTCATTGTTCCCGGCTATAGAAATTTCTTTGCGCAAATGGTTCAGGAGTGTTATTCTAAAAAGAAAATACGAGAGGTCAACAGCTTTACAGTCTGGATCAGCGTATCCAAATCGCCATCTCTCGAAATTGTAGGTGATTTTTCAGACGTGAAGGAAGCCTAGTGACTGAAGCTCCTGTCAACGTTAAAGCTCTGGTGGCCATCGAAGTTGCGCAGCTGGCTAAGAGCACTCTTATCTTTGTCAAACATAGATAGTGTACATCCTTAGCAGTCAACACGGACGTCATCGTCTTGTGGTATTTCTTCTCTATCCGCCGAATCCTGCGACGCGCTTTTCCATGTCAATCGTGTGCTCACTTTGAAATTGCTTCATGACACTGGGAAAGGACACTGCATCAACCAATCACCATATCGAGATTCAGGATGCAGTAATCGGCTCGGTTAGATCGCGCTATCGAGCATGTATTCATCAAGATTATAATTGAGGTTTCCCGATTGCTCAACTGACACATAATCTCTTCCATCCGCCGCAAACACCACACCTCAATGTATTCCAAGTCAACAGGATGACTTAAGAGCTCTTCGATTGATAGGTACACAGGTCGGGCATCCTCATGGTAACTTTCGCTCGTGACTGTCTCGTCCAGGTCCTTACCGTGTTCTTTGCTGGAGCAATGTGGTGGCCCAGCGTTATCAGATACGTTATCGTGTACATACTAGCTGTCTGACGACTACAGCTTCCACGGCGTTGTAGAGCGATAAAATCAGTTTTGCATTCGTGCTCGTTCTCCACAGGCTACATCATAAGACAGCGTGGTGTAGTGGGTATGCCGCTCGTTTGTTCGTAATCATGCTCAATATACATCTCGCTCATCGGCGCGGTGGGTTGGTAATGCACGTGAATTGATTATGCTCTCTTTACACAGACTCCACGCTCCAACGGCGCAGCGGGTAGCGTCCTCGCACACTGAGCGATGTGGATTGTCTTACAATCATGTGATGGATTTATTAAAAAGGTCTAATGGACTTAACAGTTTCCTACTACGTATGTAGACGGCGTTTATTCGTGTCTTGCACGACGATGCACTATCTGAACAGCTGAAGATGTCACAAATCATACTCAACAGCGGACAGCTTCCGCATACAATGCAAGCACAAGTATTTGATTCCAGACTCATTTCAGACGGCTTTCGGTAAATGGGCAACGAAAGGGTTCGGTCTTGCTAAAGCGCCGTCACAGGAATCAATCAGCAGCATCATTTAAAAACGGACCAGTATAAAGGCCATGGGTCCAGGCATCCTGATAGCAAATACAAGTGGATGGTTTGAAATTCCAAATTAAAAGAAGATGTGAACACTGAGTTCAAAAGTGTCTACACCGCGGAATAATTGCCGCCGGAGACCCATCCGCGCCAAGTCCCAGTAGCTTGCTCGATCGTTTGGTACTTTGAGAGACGCCACTACTTTCTCGAACGGATGGCGGCACAAATTACAACAACGTTACAAGCTCCGCGCCAATATCACCCGTGTAAAAGCGTCTTGGTAGACGTAAAATGTATGAAATTTTTTTTTGCTTGATGTGAAGAAGTTAGTCGCCGAGTACGCTCTGCGTGATGTTTACAACATGGTTGGCATTAATAAATTGTCTTCATCCAATTTTTTATAAGCCCCAGTATGACCAACAAAGTACAGTATTATTCTACAGCGTGTGTACCGACTGAACTTTAGCACCGCAATAGATTTGATAACACAAGAAAAGGTAAGTGAGATTGCAGACGGATTATTGTTATTCACAGGCACAGGATATGAGCCGATAGTCTTTTGTAATACGCTGCTGATCGAAACAGGTGAATAGTGCAGCAGTTAAGAATAAGTTGAAGTGGAAACACTAAAGAACGTTGGATCTGGGACGTTGCAGCAAAAAGGACTCTCCGCGTTGTACGAGCAATGGAGCTAAGAGACAAGTCAACAAGAGGGCATCGAGTATAGCAAGAGGGAGAAAGGGTTTAAGTGGAAACAAATCGTGGACAGGTAAGCTGTCACTTTACGCATGAGCTGATTGCTAGGTCAGAAAAGTGCCAAACAAGTGTCAAGCAAGTCGTTCTAGAGAGCCAATCTGAGTAGTACATTATTTTGTGCACGAAGTATTAGCTTATCAGCACTCTACGAAGAACGCGATTTTTAGTTTCCACGAAGCTCCAGTCTTTCTTAATCAGAGAATGCAAGAAGTTCCGGCGCGTGAACAGGATGTAATGCGATGCACTTCACTTTTTCCTTTACGTATATTACAAGTCTTGGGTGACAGTGTTATAATTCCAGGCAGGGCTTGCAACTATGGACAAAACAATAGAGGCATGATGTCAGCCAAATTTCATAATTTGTGTTATTTTCTGTTGCAAATATCGTTTATTTTTCCTGAGGAAAAATCTAAAAGTCATTTGTTGATTGACGATGACCCATCTCATATTATAGAAAACGAATTTAAGGTCTAAGCTGCTTTCACCATGCGCGAAGTTTAGAATCCAGCCAATGGATGAAGGCAACATAGCAGCATCCTATCAGCAGTCTCACCGCTTCCATATGCGACATGCGATCGATTGCCACAAGCGTGGAGACCAGAAACATTTAGAAAGTTGACCAAATATATGCCATGAGCTGGTTGGTGGTTAAATAGCGTCAACCAAACGGGGCTGTTTCTGATCTCTGTGTCATGTCTAGTGCTGTGGAAATGAGTTGGAACAAAGATGATGCAAAGGAGGTTAAAGAGGCGAAATCGATCTGGAGCAGGATCTGAGAAAGGCCGATCAGCTGATTGTGTGAGATCCCATTGCAATTTAAAGGGCAGACGGATTTGACACGAACACGAGATTCTAGAAGAGGCAAAGGAGACGAAGTTATAACTTTTATTTTGTGTTGATATGATACCTTTTGCATGTTAATATGATACCTTTCGCAGACTACTTCAATAGAACCGAAGTGACCAACGTACTTTTTGATATCTGCTTTCTGCTCGACGTATACCAGGAAAGTCACCAAGCCACATATAGTGTCCTCCACGACCTTCGGATTGATAGTCGCTGCGCACCTACCACTAAAAATACCCTTGACATGTATTCTGTGTAGGTTTCCATATTAGGATACTACCCCTATCATAAAATTAAACCATACACCTACGGCGATGTACGTTCTTTTTTGCAAGTATCATATCATCGTGCTGTAAGAAAATGAGACTGTCAAGCCATATGCGATCCAACGAAATCCATAATTTTGCAGCGCATTCCAGCGCTCGCTTCATTTTTCTGACACAACTTCGCTTGTTTCCAACGAGCGACATGGTGACACTATCTTCGTCTTCGCCTTTCAAGATGCTCAAATTTTTATAACAAGTGTCTGTCACTCCAGCTTTAGAACCGCTACTTGCTCCTGTATGCTATGATGAAAGATGAACCGGTATTTCTACACATGGTGTATATACCGTATGGACTCCTTGAATGCGGTCAATTTCCGCATGCTCCAGAAAACTTTCGCAGGAACTGATGTGAATTGTGTTACCCGCGTACATTTTTGGCGGCTTCATTGTTACGTTAGACAACCACTTGGACCAGAAGATTACAGGTCTTTATCATTCGGACACTTGACGTAAGTAAAGATCTATGTGAATGTATGGATACTCTCGTTTAGGTGTATTCTTGGCACTTCACAAACCATGATACTCGCGACTTTACCATTCAGAAGTGCAAGAATTATTAGGGTTCTGCTTATTTAATCGTCGTTTTGGTTCAAA